CTGGCTGGAGCTTGGGGGAGTCTAGCATGAGGGAAGACGAGGTGGGGAAGGATTAACAATGTCTCCATATGTACTAGCTCCTGAGGGTGTGTGAATGCGGCATCTCGTCTCTGTTATCTGCTTTTCTTTGTTGTGATGGCATCAATGAACCCGATCTGTGGATTGTCCGCTTTTTTTTTCATTACTTGGAGTGGTGGGGTGGCGTTGTTCCGGGCCTGCCCAGCATGCGGATTGGATTGCGGGGCAAGATATTCGTTCCCAGCATTTGGGAGCATGCGGCACTTCATGGCTGTCGCGGAGGGGTTTCCAATTGGTTATTTCAAGAAACGTACATCGCGGTACCCAATGGAGTTCCTTAAAAAATTGCATGGCAGCAGCGCACCAAACTTATGAGTGGCAGAATAGGCGGGAACCTTTCGTCACTTTATAAACTGCCGCGACGAAAGGCCCGTAGGAATAAACCCTTAATCTTCATATGGGGGCATTTCATGAAAGATACCACCAATTAGGTAGTAATTATTACTCTTGGCATGGTTCAACGTGGCCAATGTTTTTTATCACAACAAGAACTCAGTTCCATTCAAAATTTAATGTCATTTGGATCATAAACTTGGGGGATATGGTTGCCTAAATAATATCAGGTATGTATTTCGTGCAAGGAAATGGGTTTCTCACAGTAACCCAATTAGGAACTATTGCAAATCATTCACTGTGGTTTACTTTAAACATATTAGGACCTTGATGCCATCCGAATTTGGGGCCCAAAAGAGAAGGAAGGAGAGAGGTATTGTTACGATAAGGAATTGCTTGCATTCTTAAAAGTGACACTCGAGCCGTAACCCTTGTCGATTCCAGACTTATGACGCAAAGCATAAAGTATAACGGTTGTTGACCGTTGATCGAGAATCGAGCAGACAAGAATTCCAAGGGTCCGTTACGACAGCAAGAACACATAACTAACCCTCTAATACAGCATGGGCGGTTACCCGAGTCATGTACAGTTACCCGAGTCGGATATGGAACCACAAAGAGAATATACCCTTGCAAAGTGCATCTTAGCTAGACCCTACGCATTCTCTTGTATCACTATATGACCCCTGTATCCCCTTGCTATAATCAATATTGTTAAGTTAAACTCTTTCTGACATCGACCAATCAATCGCTTCCACAAAGCACACTATTGAAGTTCAATCCCGAAGATCCTATGAACTATATTGGATCGCTTCAGGTATGGCTGTTCGAATAATGAAATCGAACCATTTTGTGCAAAGATAGGGGTGAATAAAAGATAGCACCATTTATGCAGTAATATGGATACAGATGGATAAACATTGGCGTCATTTAGCCAATATTGCGAACTTTCTAACTCAAATTGAAGTATGTGGCGCCTTCGTTATAGCAAGACCTCGCTGCCATCTGATTTCGAGGTTTAAAGGAGAAAGGAGTAGGGAGATATGGTTGTGTGAATAATGTACCGGAAGCATATTGAGCAAGGATATGGGTGGGTAAAAGGTAGCACCATTTAGGCCCTATTATATTTTTTAAAACACCATTTGAAGTAAAACCCCTTTTTTATACCGAGACCTCTATGCCATCCAAATTTGGGGCCCGATGCCTGGTGCTTTGTCCCCCAATGCTGGTGTCATCCACTTTCACTGAGTTGAAGCTCGTGTCAGTATAGCAACTCAAGAGAATCTCTCCACTCTTCACATCTGCAGCACCTCTCTGCAACCGCTGCCTCACTCCACTATACTCCAATCCCACTGATGCCGTAGCACTCACATAGTGGACCAACCTCTTGGCCGCTTCCAGCTGCTCATGACTAGGGCGTGAAACCACGCTAGCCAACCGTGATGTAGCAAATGCAATGTCAGGCCGTGTATGATTTGCAGCATAGTTCAGCGACCCAATCATCGAATGAATTAGCTTCCTTTCACTCTCACCCACTACCTCCTCATCAGCACATGGCTCCACAGTAAACCCCGAAGGTAATGGTGTTGCTGGCTTTCCCCCATCTTGCAGCCCATACTTCTGGCAGCCCCTCATAGTACTTCCTCTGGTGCAACCTCAGCACACCCTTCTCCACATCTCACTCCACATGCATCCCCAGGTAGTACTTCACCTCACCCATTTTAGAGCACTTGAACTGCATCTCCAGCATCTGCTCTGCGCTGTCCAGCAAAGTTGTTGATACAGAAAAGAGAAGGATATCATCCACATACACCAAGAGCATGAGGAGTTCATTCTTCTCCTGTAGTAGGAACAGGCTGGGGTCACACTCACTCTTCTTGAAACCCCCAGCCAGCAGCGCCTCCTCCAACTTGTGATACCATGCACAAGGCACCTGCTTAAGGCCATAGATGGCCTTCTTTAGCCTGCAGACCCTGCCGCTCCCATCATCCAGCCCCTCTGGCTGCTCCATGTACACCTCCTCCAGAATGATCCCAATCAGAAAGGCAGTCACAATGTCCATCTGCCGAATCTTCCATCCCAGGAGTACAGCTATCGCCAACAGCACCCTCAGTGTTTTTCCTTTCTCCACAGAAGAAAACACCTCATCATAGTCCTTCCCCTTTGTCTATTGAAACCCCCTTGCCACAAGCCTAGACTTGTAGCGAGTTAGCTCCCCTTCAGGTCCATACTTGTGCCTGTAGATCAGCTTGGAAGTGATTGCCTTCTTCCCAGGAGGCAAGTCACACAAGTCCCATGTCTCGTTCTCAATCAGGGACCCAAACTCCTCATCCTCACTCGCCTTCCACTTCTCCCCATTTGGTCCATTCAAGGCCTCCTCTCGAGTCTTGGGCTCATGGATTGGTGCCCAGTAGCAGTGAGCGATCTCATCTTCCTCAATCTGCTCAACCACACTCCCAGCCTGCACCACATTCGGCTTGCCTCTTCCCCCATAGGTCAGCCTCACCAGAGGGCGCACATCCCTCCTAGGTCGTTCAGGCGGGTATGGAACTCGAGGTGGAAACTCATGCTGCTGCTGCTGCTGCTGCTCCACCTCAGCTGCTCCCCCCTCCTCAGTCACACCAGACATCTCCTCCTCAGACACTACAACCTCCACCTGTCTTGAAGGCCGCTGCACCTCATCTGCCTCCACAATTGGCGGTGTAGATGGAAGCTTCTATTGCTGCTGCTTCCATTCCTTGTAGTACAGGGACTCAAGAAACTTCACATCCCTTGACACTGTCAACTTGTGGGTGGTCAAGTCCCACATCAGCCACCCCTTGTGATCCTTTGCAATCCCCAAGTGCACACCCCATCTTCCAGAAGCCTCCAACTTCCCCCTTTTCTTCTTAGGCACATGAAACACCACCATGCACCCAAATGCCCTCAGCATGTTCACAGCTGGAGCACTCCCATACCACTTGGTATATGGGATCCACTCCTTATCCCCAAATGTAGCCAACACTCTGTTCTTTACAAGGGCGACCTGCCTTAGTGCAGACACCCAAAACGGATCAGGCAGCCCAGCACGCCCAAGAAGAGTGCGTGCCCCCTCCTGCAGGGTCCTGTTGAACCTCTCAGCACTATTGTAGATTTTCTAAAGCAGTTTGAAAAAGTTGGCACCTTTATCATATCGAGACCTCGCTGCCATCCAAATTTGGGGTCGAATGGATAAGGGAGGAGGGAGCAATGGCTGTTTGAATGATGTCATATGGGCATTTCATGCAAGGATATAGGCGGATAAAATTTAGCGCCATTAAGGCACTGTTGCGAGTTTTCTAAAGTGGTTTGAAGGGGTTGGCGCCTTAGGCATATCAAGATCTCGCTGCTATCCAAATTTGGGGCCAAATGGAGAATAGAGGAGGGAGAAATGGCTGTTTGAATGATGTCATCTGGGCATTTCATGCAAGGATAGAGGTGGATAAAGTTTAGCATCAATAATGCACTATTTTGAAATTTCTAAAGCGGTTTGAAGGGGTTGGCACCTTTATCATATCAAGACCTCGCTGCTATCCAAAGTTGGGGTCGAATGAAGAAGGGAGGAGGTAGCAATGGCTGTTTGAATGATGTCATATGGGCATTTCATGCAAGGATAGGGGTGGATAGAATTTAGCGCCATTAAGGCACTATCACGAATTTTCTAAAGCAATTTGAAGTGGTTGGCGCCTTACTAATATTCAGAAATCACTGCCATTCAAATTTGGGACCCAATGGAGAAGGGAGGAGGGAGATATGGCTGATTGAACGGTGTAATTGGGGCATTTCATGCAAGGATAGGGGAGGAAAACCTTTACACCATTTAGCCATTATTGCGAATTTACTACTCCGGTTTGAAGCTGGTGACGCCTTCATCGTAGCAGGACCTCACTGCCATCCAAATTTGGGACCCAAAGGAGAAAGGAGGAGGGAGATATGGCTGTTAAACTAATGCATTAGGGAAAAGTTGTGCAAGGATAGGGGTCGATGTTATTGTCACAATAGGCTCAGATGTGTCTATAATGAGACATGGAGAGCATAGTCGGATTTCCGTTAGACGGCTTCAAATATTGATAACGATCTGGTCGCTGAATCAAACTGTGATGTGTAAGTTGGATCTGGAGCGTAATGCTGTCGTCTACCAGCAGCAAGTTGAATCATGAAATTCCATGAAGATTTGACGACGCTATGGCGGTTTGACTGGCAGGAGGTATAGCAGCCACTATAGTCTTGGAAGTACAAACTTAGCAAGAAGAGTTCGAGAGGGAGATGGTTCCCAGCCTCTACATACCCCAAGAGCCGAGGTCCAGGTTGGTGGTACACCAACACAGAGTCCCCAACCATGAAGAGTCTCGAAACCAACCCTCCAAGGGGCTACACCAAGTGAAATGTAACACTACACGAAGTAACGTTACTATTTTCACTATTTAATATTTATCCGCGTCCCTTGGGCTTGAAATCTTGAGCTCTTGTTCTTGGATCTGCAAGATAAATTCTTCTTGAGTTGATGGGGGCTTTCTGCACACACCTGCGACATGATGGACACTTCACACTCGACAAAATAGAAAAAACACATGCGACACACAAACGACGACTTGACATGCGAGTTGTAAAAACTCGCTAATGTCTTGACCGACACAAACCACATTGTGATACACCATTCAAACACACACACAAGCACTGGATAGCAATGACATAGACTCACAATTCATTCCATGCCATGCATGCACACACACAAACAAGGACGACAAGCCGAGTGCAAGCCATAGGGTTGCACCAACAAACTCCCCCTCGGATTGTTGGCCTTAGAATCTGCTCCCCTTAGTTCAGAGCCATCCCAGAAAGCTTGCAACACTTCCAATGCTGCTGCTCAACCAGCCTCTTGGTCATCATATCAGCAGGCTGCGCCGTCGTCTTCACGTAGTGCAACTCCACTTCACCCGCGGTTACCATGCTCCTCACCCAATGCCACTTCACCTTCATGTGCTTGGTAAGGCCATGAAGAATGGGATTCTTAGCCAATGCAATAGCACCCTGGCTATCATAATAGAGTGGGGTAGGTCCTTGCTGCTCCTCCCCCAATTCAGCTAGCAAACGCCGCTGCCACACAACCTCTTTTATGGCACGGACGAGTGCCATGTACTCGGACTCCACCGAGCTCAATGCTTGGTCCACTTGTTTCTTGCTCTCCCAAGCTGTTGGCCCTCCACCAACACAGCAGATGAAGCCTCCCACACTTGTCATGTCCTCTGGTTCTGATGCCCAAGATGCATCAGAGAAGGCGGTGAGAAAGAGCCTCCCGGGTTCGACTCCATCCGCACCCTTTTGACGCCTTTGTGCCGCCGCGGAGTATTGCAGTCCAACAGTTGCTGTTTGGCCAAGGTACTTGGCCACCCTCTCTCCAGCTGCTACCTGCTCCTCATTAGGGCATTGGACAACCCTAGCCAGCTGCCTAGTAGCAAAGGCTGCATCCGACCTTGTGTGAACGGCCGCATACATGAGACTGCCCACCAAGGAGTGAAACGGCGCCTCTCCTCTTCACCAACACTTTCCTCCGCTGGTCCTTTCACACACTTGAACCCTGAGGGAAGAGGAGTAGCCACATGACCTTCACTCTTCCCAAAGTTTGCAGCCAAGGCCTCCAAGTACTTCTTTTGATGCACTCGCATCCACCGCTTCTCCACATCTCGCTCAATGTGAAGCCCAAGGTAGTAGTTGACGTCACCAAGGGTCGTGCACTTGAACTTGTCTTGAAGCTTCAGCATCACCTCCTTCACAAGGTCAGAGGAGGGTGAGAATATGAGGATGTCATCCACATAAACCACCATGAAGCTCCTCTGCTCCCCCTCGCCAAGCATGAACAACGATTGATCGGCCGTTGAGGGAGTGAAGCCGATCGCCTCCAAGACTTCCCGCAGCTTGATGTACCATTGCCTAGGGGCTTGCTTGAGGCCATAGAGTGCTTTCTTCAGCTTCCACACTCTTCCAGTCCCATCATTGTACCCCTCTGGCTGCTCCATGTAGGTCTCTTCCTCCAAAACGCCGTTGAGGAAGGCCGTTACAATGTCCATTTGCTTCACCACCCATCCTTTGATGGCCGCCGCGGCGAAGAGGGTTCGAAGGGTTGTACCCTTCACCATAGGAGCATATACTTCATTGTAGTCCTTTTTCTCCTGCTGCTGGTACCCCTTGGCTACAAGTCTGCTCTTGTAGCGCTCAATGTTGCCGTCGGCGTCGGTCTTGCGCTTGAAGAGCCACTTGGAAGAAATCGCCTTACGCCCCGGAGGTAGGTTCACCAAGTCAAACGTGTCGTTCTCGATGATGCTCCCCATTTCTTCATCTGAGGCCTTCTTCCACTCCTTCCCATTGGGGCCCTCCCAAGCCTCCTTGGCATTTGTAGGCTCCCCCGGTATCTCCACCGGAGAGAAGAAGGCAAAAGCGCACTCCTCGCTTTCATCTTCCGCATCATCACCTAGCATGAGAGCCGAACCGGTCAAGGTTGAGTTGGCTGGTCCTCCAAGCCGTTCATAGCTCAACCTATTGGGGGGCTGAGTCCTCCTTCTCCCCCTTCCTTCCTCCTCTGCTGCAGGGACTTGAATGCTCTCATGGCTTTGCGGTAAGTCCGGTCGGTTCCCGCGAGCACTTGTGGCACGAGGCGGAAGTGGCGGTGCACGCTCATTACCTTGCTGCACCTCCTCCTCCTCCTCATCCCCATTCATTTGGGGAGATTGCCTCGTGATTGTGCTGCTGCTACTCAGCTCCAAGGGCAGCTCCATATGCTCCAAGCCGGTCCTCTTCACCTCTCCAAGCCGCACACCAATCTTCGCTTGGTTCTCCGCCTTCCACTCCTTGTACGGTAAGTTCTCCATGAACTTGCAATCTCTGCTCACCAGGAACTTCTTGGTAAATGGGTCCCATAGAAGCCATCCCTTGCTGTTTTGGGCCATGCCCAGGTGCATGGCCCATGTTGCCTTGGCATCAAGCTTGTTGTGCCGAAGTTTCTTAGGCACAAATGCCATGCACATGCACCCGAACACCCGAAGCATATCCACCTTCGGCTTCCTTCCAATCCACTCCACATAGGGCACCCATTTGTCTTCTCCCACATGAGTCAAGGCTCTGTTCTTGGCCACACAAGCATGCCGCACCGCATCCGGCCAAAAGTAATTGGGTAGACCGGCTTCAATGAGAAGTCCCCGAGCCGTCTCCGTGAGTGTCCGATTCGCACGCTCGGCGATGCCGTTCATTGCAGGAGAGTAGGGCATGGTAAGAGAGTGCCTTATGCCCTGCTTCTTCAGCCAAGTTGAGAAATCCTTGCTCAGGAACTCTCCCCCACGGTCAGTGCGAATCGCCTTCACAAGTCGGTCTTGTTGCCGCTCCACCATCGGCAACCAATCGGTCTTCACCGTTTCAGCTACGTCACTCTTCTTCGGCAGCACATACACCCAAGTCATGCGAGTGTAGACGTCCACAATGGTGAGGAAGTACGCAGCTCCAGCAGCTCCAAGCTTCAAGGGGCCCACCACATCCATCACCACCTCATCAAGTGGTGCCTTCGCCGTTGTCTCCGAGCTATGGAACGGGTAGCGGGTGAACTTGGCTTGCATGCATGTTGGACAGCCAAGCACCTCATTGGGCTCCCCCTTGACACGTATCCCACTGACCATCTCTTGCTTAACTATCTGCTGCAAAATGGGCAATGCCACATGCCCCATTCGCCGATGCAAGGTCAGCCAATCACACTCTCCCGTAGCGGAAGTCGGGTTGGAGAAAGCGGCACTCGCAATTGTGCCCCACAAGCTCTCTCCTTTCTCCTTCGCCGCTGCTTCTTTGTTGATCTTAGCCTTCTCCTCCTCATTTCCACCACCTTTGGCTGCTGCACCATTCTCCTTGGGTTCACACGCCTTGCTGGTCTCTCCAAGGTTGCACTCCTTCGAGTCACTCTTGGTGTCACTTTGCTTTCCGTGATCACCGCCACCAACCGCTTCACGCTTGGTGCTGACGCTTGCTGCCACTTGCCTCTCTTTAGGCATGGGGACCACTGGGATTTGCCACATCTCATTGTAGATGTCCCTGTCCTCATGAAGGTTCCAAAGCTTCCGCTCACCAAGCCTTGCGGTATAGGTTTTGGATCCCTTGGAAGATGTGTCCATGACGGCCTTTTGCAAACGCCGAACGGAAATCAGGTTGGCTGCTAGGTTGGGCACCAAAAGCACGTTCTTGAGGCCCACCATCTTCCCATCAGCACCCTTGAACATGGCCTTGCCCATGCCTTTCACCTCTGCTCGCTGTCCCAAAGCCGATGTAACATGCTTGACCGGCGACGGTTCGAGTTCGGTGAGCAAGTCCGCACGAGGTGTCATGCTGTAGGTGGCGCCGCTATCGATCACCCAAAACTCCAGAGAGTGAAGGGTGACCTTTCCCACAGTAGCTGGCTCCTCAAAGCCTTCCACACCTCCTGCTGCAGCTGCCACTTGCGTGGAGACAAAGAAGAATTGGCCCGGGTATCGATCTACACTCGAGTCCTTGTCGTAGTCTCCACCTTTCATGCTTGCCGCTTCGCTTCCACGACCACCACGGCCTCCATGACCTCTGCCTCTTCCTCCCCTTGCTCCTCTGCCCTCTTGGCCTTGAGAAGGGGTCCATCCATCAGGCAATCTGAAGCAATCTCTCCACATGTGGCCGGTCTTGTGGCAAAAGTGGCATTCGCCATCAAATCGACCACGCCCACGCCCGTAGCCATTGTTGTTGTTGTTGCTGCCATATCCTCCATTACCACGGCCTCCATTGAAGTTACTGCTGCCAAATCTTCCTCCTCGCCCTCTGCCCCTTCCACGGCCGTGCCCACGGCCCATGCTTGCAACTCCGGCACCATCGGGACCCTCCAATTCGCGACGGCGGAAATCTTCTTGCAAGATTTCCCGCTTCACATCTTCGAGTGAGAGACGGGGCAGATCTCGATTAAGGTTGATGATGAGCGAGGACCATGAGTCTGGAAGTAAGGCCAGCAGCTTGGTCTTCTTTTGAAGGTCACTGTAGTTCAGGTCAGCTCCTTCGAGCCGTGTCAACAAGTCGAAGAATTTCTGCACTCCTTCCTCCACCGGTTCACCTTCGTCAATTCGAAGTGCCGCCATTTGCCGCTCCAGAACCACAGCCACCGCCGCTGTTGCAAGAGCGTGTACACCCTTGAGAGCAGCCCATGCCTTTGGTCCCTTTGCTGGTTCACGCTGAAAAGGCTTGATGTGACGGATTTGGCTGCTCCCCAACGCTTGCCCAAGTAGAAGGTAGCCTTGTGCGCTCTTCCGCACCCACGGGCTCTTCTCCAGGTCGTTCTCGGGGCGCTTCTCCGTTCCTTCCATCACCTCCAGCAGATCATAGTGGTCAAAGATGTTCTCCATCTTGAAGGACCACTCAGCAAAGTTGTCACCGTTGAACTTGTCAAGGCCAAACACTCTAGGCTCATCCCTAGAGGGTCCAAGGCTAGGTTGCACCGGAGCAACGGGTGGATCTTGGTGTTGACCTTGTGCTTGGGCGTCTTCTCTGCCTCCAACACCTCTGCCACCCCCTTCCTCAGGTCTAGGCATGGTCGAGACGGCTCCAAGGGGCTCTGATACCACTTGTTATTGTCACAATAGGCTCAGATGTGCCTATAATGAGAGATAGAGAGCACAGTCGGATTTCCGTCAGACGGCTTCAAATATTGATAACGATCTGGTCGCTCAAACTGTAATTTGTAAGTTGGATCTGGAGCGTAATGCTGTCGTCTATTAGTAGCAAGTTGAATCATGAAATTCCATGAAGATTTGACGACGCTATGGCGGTTTGACTGGCAGGAGGTATAGCAGCCACTATAGTCTTGGAAGTACAAACTTAGCAAGAAGAGTTCGAGAGGGAGATGGTTCCCAGCCTCTACATACCCCAAGAGCCGAGGTCTAGGTTGGTGGTACACCAACACAGAGTCCCCAACCATGAAGAGTCTCGAAACCAACCCTCCAAGGGGCTACACCAAGTGAAATGTAACACTACACGAAGTAACGTTACTATTTTCACTATTTAATATTTATCCGCGTCCCTTGGGCTTGAAATCTTGAGCTCTTGTCCTTGGATCTGCAAGATAAATTCTTCTTGAGTTGATGGGGGCTTTCTGCACACACCTGCGACATGATGGACACTTCACACTCGACAAAATAGAAAAAACACATGCGACACACAAACGACGACTTGACATGCGAGTTGTAAAAACTCGCTAATGTCTTGACCGACACAAACCACATTGTGATACACCATTCAAACACACACACAAGCACTGGATAGCAATGACATAGACTCACAATTCATTCCATGCCATGCATGCACACACACAAACAAGGACGACAAGCCGAGTGCAAGCCATAGGGTTGCACTAACAGTCGATAAAAGGTACTGCCATTTAGGCACTATTTTGAATTTCCTAACATGGTTTCTAGTTGTTAGCGAGTTTATTACATCAAGACCTCTGTGCTACCCAAGATTGGGCCCAAAAGGAGCAGCGTACTGGGAAGTAAGGCTTTTTGGATATTTTGACGGGGTTGATTTCGTGCAAGGATAGTGGCCGATAAAACAGTGTCATTTTTACACGTCTGCTCCTTTTTTACAGCAGGAACTCATCGACGTTGAATTTGAGACTGAAAGGAGGAGCGAATGGAAAGGGACACGCATGTACGTGCTTTAGATCCCCACCAATCTCATATGTATGCAATCGTCGCAGCATCACACCACTTGTCTCCATTTATTAATGTAGGCCATCCTCATATCAATTATGATGAGCATAGCACATGTGTTGATTCGCATAGATCTGTTTCCTGTTGTAGCTAACATCTTGATTCAAATTACCCAATGATAGAAATTGGCCATTTAATATTTGTTTATGGTTCAATAAATGAGAGGAAAATGTTCCTTTCTGCACATTTTCCTGCTTGCCATAGGTGTCACATGATATATTTTTCCAAGAATTCATACTACAATAATTCGTATACCAAACTCATCAAGTTCTGGTGTAGCCAAAATCCTTTATCACGCTAACGCAAATGATGCTCGCAAGGTGCGAGAATCGAGCCCTTGAAAATTTCAGCCAGAGTTCGGGCGGGTAATAATTGTGGCGAATGTTTGACGGCTGTCTCGATGTAACTTCGCCCTCGCCATTTTGCCCGCTGAAATAAATGGACAGTTTTTGCCCTGAAATGCCCAACCACAAATTTCCGACGCATGTCGGCCAGAACCGAGGCGCGGTTCCAGAAACGTTTCCGACGGAACCCCAACCATGACGCAACCAAAAAACCAGTTTGGCAAACCTGTCGACCCGAAACAAAAAAAATCCAGGTTTTTTGCGATGATGGGCAGACAGATGGCAGGGCGGAGAGAAGGGATGGGGAAGGAGCCATGGCCGGGGAGGGGTGGGGATGAAATGTGTGAATGGGGTGGAAATGGGGAGAGGGGGTGTCACCGAAAGGTAAAGGACATTGGGTCAGTTCTGATGCAGCAGAAGAGATGGGAAGGGGGAAGGGTATCGGCTTGGCTGAGAGGGATGGGGGGGAGAAGAGGCAATGGCTGAGAGAGATGGGGGGGAGAAGAAGCAATGGCTGAGAGAGAGGGGGGGGAGAAGAGGCAATGGCTGAGAGAGAGGGGGGGGGGAGAAGAGGCAATGGGGGAGACAGGGCTGATGCGGATGGTAGAGAGGGAGTCAGGGCTGATGCGGATGGTAGAGAGGGAGACAGGGCTGGGGGAGGGGGATGGTAGAGCGGGAGGCTGGGGGATGCGGATGGTAGGGAGGGAGGTCGGGCTTGGGTGAGGGTTGGCATGAGGGTTGTTAGGGTGGCCAGAAAGTTTGACCCTGCGTCCTGATCTACCCAGTCCCCCTTTCTACCATGCTTCCCTAACTACCCTGCTTTCGTACCTACCCTGCTTCCCTATATTCCCCGCCTCCCTATTTACCCTGTCCCCCACTATCTACCCTGCATCTCTTTCTTGTTGTGATAAAGCCAATTCTTTCATTTCTCACCCGCCTCCCTTTCTCCCCTGCCTCTAATTCCAATCCCACTGTTAGTGCATGCCTTCCGTCTCCCTAATTTACGTGCAGCCCACCGCATGCCCGCCGTCCTCCTGTACTTCCGCTGGGTAGTAAGGATGGCAGTGGACTTTAGGTCATTTATTTGGTGTACTCAGGGCAGATGTTGCAGTGTTGCCTAAGCCCAGGGGCTTGAATTCTTGTGCGTTTGATTGATTTTTTAAATTTATTTTTATTGTTTCTCAAACTGTCCTAACATGCCTTCCGTAACCATTGACCACTATTTATGCAAGCAGTTTTGATTCACTCTTGTGCATTTGTGTATATGCAACGTCAGGGCTAGTTACATGTGCACCATTTTTAGATGCGTTGTCATCAAGTTCGCGTCGGGGCGTGTTTCATAGCGCGGAATTTGGTTCCTAGACAGTGTTTCCAAATCTAGGTTAGGCACAGTTTGGGTGCACCGTCGACGGTCTCCTTGCAAAACTTTGCGTAATTCGAGTCCTTAGAACACGCCCCAGTTTCACACTTGTTCCCTGCGAATTTTGTCGTCTGTAGCTTCGCGGATGGGTCGCTGGCGATTGTTGCACTCGCTAGCATTCGCAGTTCACGCATTTACGGGCGTTTCACTATGTCTTCCTGCCCATAAAATGAGTTTCACCTCACTTGATGTGTTTCAAAAAATTACAGGAGTGCCCTACATCAAGAAGGGCTCTCTTGAACTCCACCTTTGTTATTTTTTACTCGGGCTTTAAGGATGCAAATGACACAATCCAGAAGCCTAAAACGGTTCCAAGCAAAGTTTGGAGGACGAATTAGCAAGAGGACCATGCGAGCATTCAGCCAGCAGCAGACATCAGGCGGAGTAAAAGGGGATGGAGACCATGGCTAGGGACGAGCCTAGAGACGGTTGTGCAGGAAAGGTGGCAAAAAGAGACAAGGTGAAAGGGCGTCATGCTAGGCCGCAGCCACCTGCAGAACCGCCAACAGGCGGAGTCCTAGTGTGTGGAAGAGCACATGGTACTCATGTTGCAGCAAAGCACAGGCCTTCTATGCAGCTCAGGCTGCCTCTTAACATGCCCATGTTGCGGCTGCTGCTGCTGCTCCTGCAGCTCCGGCTCAACCCGCAGGCAATCCTGGTGATTCCGCTGCCGCTCCCGCTACCCCCAGCTGGCAGCGTCAATCTGCAAGGGGATGCGGGCTCAGGGACAATGCAGAGGGGCTGGGGGAACGAGATGCCAGCAGCCCCCCCCATGGCATCACGAGGCCAAGGCATAAGGGGACGGGCTGCCAGCAGCCCCCCCCATGGCATAACGAGGATAAGGCATAAGGGGACGGGCTGCCAGCAGGCCCCCCCATGGCATCACCAGGCCATGGCACGGGCTGCCAGCAGCCCCCCCCACGGCATCACGAGGCCAAGGCACAAGGGGACGGGCTGCCAGCAGCCCCCCCCATGGCATCACGAGGCTAAGGCATAAGGGGACAGGCTGCCAGCAGCCCCCCCCATGGCATCACGAGGCCATGGCATAAGGGGACGGGCTGCCAGCAGTCCCCCCCATGGCATCACGAGGCCATGGCATTAGGGGATGGGCTGCCAGAAGCCCCCCCCATGGCATCACGAGGCCATGACATAAGGGGATGGGCTGCCAACAGCCCCCCCCATGGCATCACGAGGCCATGGCATAAGGGGACGGGCTGCCAGCAGCCCCCCCCATGGTATCACAAGGCCATGGCATAAGGGGACAGGCTGCCAGCAGCCCCCCCCATGGCATCACTAGAGATGATGGGAGAGAGGGAGAGGGGTGCAGCAGCGCACACATGAAGCAGCTTAAGGGGGGGGGAGAGGGGGGGAGTCGGCAAACCAAGAGAGGACCAGAGACATGAGAGAGGGATAGGTCCTGACATGAGGGGGGGGGTCTGGCAAGACACGCTTCGGGCTACGTTTGCTGACCTGCAGTTCTTTCCGTCGTCTGCAGACCCCTCGCTCTTTGTTCGTGCTGGCCAGACCCCGTTCTACATCCTTGTCTACGTAGATGACCTGGTCTTTGCTACTGTGGACAGAGACGCACAGGCCTCCGTGAAGGCAGAGCTACTGAGGAGACACACCTGCACTGACCTAGGAGAGCTGCGCCACTACCTTGGCTAGCAGATCTCCAGGGACAGAGCAGCGCGCACCATCACTCTCACACAGTCACACTTGGTGCGCCAGATCCTTCAGAGGTTCAGTCTTCAGTTCTCCTCCGCTCAGCCCACACCTGTGCGATTACATTACAGGCTCTCGGCTCCAGTCCCTGAGGAGTCTTTAGAACCCAGTAGTCCTTACGCAAAGCTGGTGGGTTGCCTCATGTACCTGATGACTTGCACTCGACCAGATCTTGCATACCCTCTCAGCATCCTGGTTCGCCTTGTGGCCACAGGCAGACACCGACCACAGCACTGGCCGGTCGCTAAGAGGGTTTTGCGTTATCTAGCAACTACATCGGGCATGGGGCTACTGCTAGGAGGACACAGGCCACTGGTCTTTACAGGGCACACAGATGCTCGTGGGCAGATGACTTTGAGACACTCAGGTCCTCTCAGGGCTACTGCTTTAGCCTTGGTGTAGGCGCCATTTCGTGGAGGTCCACCCGCTCGTCGTTTGTTGCCCAGTCTAGCTGTTAGGCTGAGATCTACGCTGGTGCCATGGCGGCACAGGAGCTCCGCTGGCTGACTTTCTTGCTCACAGACTTAGGTGAGTGGCCTAGCTCTGCCCTGGTCCTGTACGCTAACAACAGGGCCATGATCCTCCTGTGTCAGGAGCCTCGACTGGAGGGCAGAGCGAAGCACATCCAGCTGCGGTACTTCCTCTTGCGCAAGCTACAGCAGCGCCGCCAGGCCCGCGTAGTACACTTGGCCTCAGGTGCCAACACAGCTAATATCTTTACAAAGGCGCTTGCGCCTAAAGATCATCAGCGACACAGTGTACAGCTTGGTCTAGTTCATGTAGCTCTTCACTTGCTAGGACCGTGACTGTGTACTACTACTAATTATATTATCTTGACTGGCCTTGTGGCTCTTGTTCCAGTGGCTGGAGTAGTAATGCCGCCCTGGGTTACACTTGTTTAGTTTGTACTGTTACTGATTGGTCTTTGGACCCTTGCCTCAGTGGCTGGACTAGTAGTGCCACCCTGAGCTGTATGTCTCTTGTTAGTCACTGACCCTTGTCTAGCCTATGGGGTGTGTCAACATATAATTTGTATATGTTATAGGCTAGCTAGGTGCATGCTTATATAGAGTACCACCCATTAGGTTATATCCCCTTGTACCACCTCATTCTAGTTAATTTGTTCTACGCTAAGATTTTTTTCTACAATAACATGTTTTATTTTTTTTATGCTTGTTGCGACATTTCTTTCTCCTGATGCATCTTAGGGTCCATGTGTTGTGTCGGTGTTCTTTTTCTTTTGCTTTGTGTTGCGACCCTTTTCCATTTTGCTACTGCTTGTTTGATAGATGGGTGGTGCATTTTGTGTATGCAAGAATGTGGGTTGTATTGATCGTCTCAAGTAAGGTTCTTTGACTTTCCACCTTGAGTGTAATCATTTGAACTGGAAAAGACGAGTGCAATCCATTTTCTTGTAGTCATGAAATGTATTGCCTAAAAATATGTCGTGTGACTTGTCCACTAGGGTTTCGATTTCCCCCACTTAGCTGAGGAAACGATTGCCTATTTTTGTCATCGACAAAAATACGCGACGGGCAATTATGGAAAACATTTGTGAATTTTGCTTTCCATATATTTTTTACCAATAATATAGTGTAATTAATATATTACTCTGTATTACTGATATTTAAGGAAATCCCCTTTAGATAGTTTGGGAAGAGATGGCTTTTTTCTTTCCCTTTTTCTCAAAACACAAAACGGGAAATGATGGAAAACATGAACACATTTGTTGTTTTCCATCATTGTCTGTTTTGAAGTATAATATTATAGGTAGTTCTAATATGGCACTTTCATCCATTTTTTTACATAGTAAAGCTAATGAACCTATGTAGTTTGAATGAATGATCCCTACTACAGTATATTAGCCACTAATTTCTATCTTTTACTTCCATATAATTTTTTTTTACAATTTTGTTAATAAAACTCGGAAAAAAAAAAATCGTCCGATGGATCCCAAAAGGTTGCTCCGCAACCCAAACGGAGAAAATAGGACAAGGGAGTGCGTGGTAGCTAAGGTTACGAACTCAATCTCGTACGTCCACCATTCCACAAATATTCCAACCTCACCAGCCTTCAACTGAAGCATACCACACCGCTTTCCACCTCACTGAAAGTCCGAACTGTGCGCGTAGCGTAGCCTGAAGGAGTAGATCTAGTGTTTTGGCTTTGCTGGGTTGGGCTGAGTTGATTGGTTGGTGGTTGTTCAGTGGAGGGAGATTGGCCTCGCTGATTCGGGGTTTGCTGATTGGCCCAACAAACAAAAGTGATTGGGTGGAATGTTTGGATAAGGGTTCGCATTACGACCAATAGAAATCATCCAAACATGAATTTCGCCTGCCCAGAAACAGCATTGTACACCTAGACCGCGGTAATTTCACAACCTGGAACACCGAGGGCGGGGGGTGTCGTTAAGCCGCGGGAGTGAAAATAGAGGTAGCCTTGCCAACTTCACGAAAAGAGAGACTGAATCGGCACTGACTCAAAAAAGAGAAGGGGCATGACAATACGCATGCTGGCTAGGGGAATCTGCTGTGAATTGTGGCGGGAGTTGTGCTATGCCAACTACCTGAATTTGACTCGCCAATCGTGTTGTGACATGTTGACCTCGTTCTGTTCCCATTTGCGCCATCCGTCCGACTCCTCGGATCTCGTGACTCAGTTTTGATTCGCTCTGCACACGATACTTCAGTTTGGCTGCTGACTGGCTCTGAGTCTGACTCGTCACCACATGTATCTGCGACACACTACATCAAAAGCACTAGCAGTTACACACTTCTCGTCTCCACGTCAAGTGTGCATGTTCAACGGCCCACGGCTGGTGTGCATAAGGATGGAACTGTAGCCGTGCAAGCTGTGGAATTTGAAGTCAGCTGTTGGTTAAAACCGTTGACCCAAATTATTCATGGTTGTGAATCTTGCCCTTAGTACAAACTCGTGGAAAATAAGGCAGCCGAATACGCACGAACCAAGTCACGCAAAACAGTGACGGGGAGTTGAATTTCAGGGCGCAACCAGTTAGAAGCTGGTCGAAATCGAAATCCGCTCCTAAGGGCCTACTACATATGTTGGCTGATATTCAAACGACTTTCCTTCCAGAAGGTTGTCAATGCACTGCAGATGAGCATCCCTGTTTGATGAGCGTTTCATCTCTTGTGCTTGCTCATCCACCTTGACTGCTGCACTCAGCTCCTCTTTCCCCACCACCTCATCCCTGACACCCTGCAACTCAGTGGCAACGCGTGTCATCCTTGGGCGACTCGCAGTGCGCTCTGCAGTACAGGTGAGAGCCAGCTGGGCCAAGCGCAGCACAGCATCATCAGGGGCGTCCATGCTGAGGTCCTTGAGGCGGGTCGGGCTGTCCGATGCCAGGCAGCCCTTTACCTAAAAGATTGGAGAAGGTGGGGATGGGAACAGGTAGTAATCGAGATTCATACACTTTGAGGCAGACTAATTGCATTGCATGGGTTGAGAAGCCTTTTCTCCCAATCGGTCGATGCAATTTTGTCTTTGGCAGTGCTCTGCGCAAGTGCAATGGTGTCATCTGCAAAAGTGGTGTCCTGTGCATGCTAAATGACAGGACTTACCCATTTCAGAATGTGGTTACCCTCTCCACCACCCATAGTGGTGGGGCTTCGGGCAGTGAGGACCACAAGCATCAGCACACCGAAGCTGCAGCAGGGGGGGTCATCTCACACATACACGATAGGATTACCATATGGTCCATGCGTGATGGGATAAGCATATTATAAAAACACGATAGGTGATAGCTACGATAAGCACATTATCTTGATGATTAAAAAAGATCAGTATGGAAAAACTATGCGATGAGCTAGTGATGAATAAATGAAAGGATAGGCAAGTGTCAAAGGTCAGCAGCTAGACCAGCTGTTGTGAATCCAAGCTCACCTGTAGACGTCAGTGGCGGTGGTTGCCATAGACGTCCTTGAGTAAATCGGATCCACGTAGCCCGGTGTTCCCATGACTCGAGTAGTGCCCACCATGGAGCCCTCTACCACCCTCACGAGCCCAAAGTCAGCAATCTTGGCCTGAAGGGTGGTACGACCAAGGAAGGCAAGAATGAAGGGGGAACAAAGTGTAATAAAAGTGTTAATAACATTCTCCCAAGAAATGGTAGCACTCAGTTATCTGCTTCCCACATTCCATTTTCTTACTTCTTGACCCATAATGCAGACAAGCGATTTCCTTTTAAAAGGCTTAATTTCTGTGATATGAAGTGAAAATGCGGATTGCAAAGAGCTTGCCTGCATGTCTGCTCCGAGGAGGATGTTGGCGGGTTTGATGTCGCGATGCACAAGGCCAAAGCTGTGGAGGTACTCCAAGCCACGTGCAGCACCAATGAGGATGTTCAGCCGCTGCTTGAAACTCAGAGGGAAGGGTGCTTCTGCAAAGATACCGAATATGAGAGACATGCAGTGGGTTTCCACATTGTCATAGACGGAAAGAAGCAATGGAAAACGTGGCCCATGGAACGACTACATACCTGTACTGATCCACGTATCCAGGTCACCGTTGGGAACGAACTCGTAGATCAAGACTTGCTCTGGCCGTATCCTCATGTCCCCTCCAACGGAAAACCCGAGTAGTCGAACAACGTGGGGATGGTTCTTGTCCGCGATTTGTCGGACCTGGGAGAGAGATGTGTCACAGCGGGATGGAATGGATTGAGAGGCTGGCCATTGCGGAATGGTTGGGGCACGTCAATATTGGACAGATGTAAAAATCAAGTCAACAGAGCTCCGACTCAATGTTTTTTTTGCATTTCTTAAATTGTTATTGACTGGACATTTAAGGAATGGATGGATAACATGCAAGGTATACAGTGGATGGTTTGTTACGCCTTGTCAAAGCACTCGACTGATGAGTTGACTCACCTCTCTCTGAAAGTCAGCATCAAGCAATTTAGCTCGCTTGACGGCCCACGGCATGGTGCCATCCCTCGGAGACACGCCCTTGTAAACATCACCAAAGGTGCCCGAGCTAAGCCGGTTATCATCGGACCAGTTGCTCGTGGCTGCCATGACTTCCTCAAGGGAGTACTCGGTGCAGCGAGAGGCTGCCACGCTGCCAGCCAGGTCTGCTTATGAAGTGAGCGGTATACATGCAGCGCAATGCAAAAGGTTCAGTGTGTGCAAGTAGCGTACAACAGAAACGAATTCTGTAGGATTAGGTAATTCCAGAAACCGTTTACGACCTGGAATTGGCGTGCTATGTGACTTAATGAGATGCACAAGCTGGTGGTCCATTTCAGGTAAAGGTGGTCCAGCACAAGGCGGCACGCCCCACGCCCCAGCTGCCCAGCACACTCTACCTTGCAGCTTGTGCAACGAAAATGCATCTTCAGAAATCAGGATACTCCATTGAGAGACAAGATATGTACCAGGTTGATTTGAAGTCGCGCTACAACCTTTCTTTTTATCACCACTTCCCACAGCTTGGCCTCTGCTGGCTCTGAATCCCCTAGCTGAACGGTGCCAGCGAAGTAAACAATGATATTTTCCTTACCTTCAATATCCCCGTGTGCTCCCACATCCTTCCCCTCCTTGATTGCTGTAGCTGCTCCTTGCGCTGCTTCTTTCTTGTAGCTTCTCCAATATAAAAGCAGCAAGCCAATCAACAACAGCAGCAGGGCAGCCACAACAGCCACAGCAATGCCAGCAATGGCTGCTGCTGACAAACCGCCTCCAGACTGGGAGGTCGACGTTCCAGGTGAGGAGGGGGATGGTGGGGAGGACGAAGATGGTGCTTGAGACCCAGTGGGCGTCGATGGGGGTGTTGTGGTGGCCGTTAGAGATGGTGAGGGGGCCGCTGGAGGAGGGAAAGGGCGGGATGGATCGTGGAGATGATAAGGGATAGATGAAGACGGCTTACGACAAGGGGTGGGGGGAGCATAGAGCATTGCAATGCAATGAGATGGACAGTGTGACATCGGGTTAGCACAAGAAGTGTGAGTCAATTCAACACGAGATGCAGTCCAAGTAGAACAGAGGTAGTACTGATGAAGGTGCAAAAATACGGTAATCGTATTATACGGGACATTTAATACGGCCGTAATTTTCGGCAAATTTATGAAAAAAACGCCGTTTTTGTTTGACCAGGTTTCTTTTTTTCTTTTTTTTTGGATCCACGCGCATAACAGATCCGCACATTTTGGCGGGCAAAATACCAGATCCGCGCTTGTCGCCCGTCGAAACGCGAGATCCGTGCATTTTGGCAGGCAAAATGCCATATCAATGCATGTCGGCCGTCAAAACGCGAGATCCGCGCATTTCGGCGGTCGAAATGCGCAGATCCGCGCTTTCTGGCGGTAAATTTCACCCCGTTTCTTGAAAATTCGGCCAAAAAAACGACCGTTTTTTTGCACCACCCTCAAAATGGCACGTCTGACCGTTTTTTATCGTATTATATGGCCGAAAACTTCAGTGCCGTACCATATGGTCATATTTTGAAAAAAACGCCTTTTTTTTGCACCTTGGTACTGATGCTTCTTATTGACAAATTGGCCGTCGTGCATGCAGACGGATGCAGGGTAGTGTACATGCTCACTGAAGTTGAAATCCAATGCGTAGGACATCCATGTTGGGACGGCAAAGCATGAAATGGAGGACAATTCAGAAGAAGAGATTGGCTCACGTGGTGCAGGCTTGACACAAGTGTTGCAAAAATTGGGGCATGTGCCGCAAAAGGTGCTTGAAAGATTTTGGTTGACAACGCATTGGGTGAAGTCAGCAGGGCATGTGATTCTATTTCCAGTCAGATTCCTGCATGTGATAAAGCAAGAGAATAGAATATCAATGCAAGTGACCCATTGCTTGGACCCCTGTCCTTGAAAAGTGCTTCTGTCAGTCACCAGTAGCAGAGATTCGAGAATTATCTTAACGTGCCACATAGTTAGATCCAAGGCTGACTGACAGATGTGCTTGGGGGGGTTCCACTCTCCCAAGCAGATTCCTAGATCTAACACTGTCTTCCTTGCTCTAACAAGGTTGCAGGTGTGAACTATCGTCCATCCATCCATCATGCCTTGTTACGTGAGCACATAAGATTGACTACAACAAATTCTCCTCTCCCGTTAACCTCTTACAGGGCTAGAAACACACTCGTCAGGAGCAAACGACTCATGGCACTTCCACCATTTAAAAAAGCACTCACAAGGCAGAGAGTTGGTCGAGGTTGCCAATGGACTGGGGAATGCTGCCAGTCAGGCTGTTGTTGGAAAGTTGTCTGGTAAGAGGACAACAAATGGATGCATACAGAGTGGTTACTGGATGTTTGAAAACATAATGCATAGTGTAACACCAGAGGATTAATAAGATGCTTCAGTGCATTGAAGAAGCCAATGCGATAAGAACTCCAACTTGTTTTGACTGCCAAATTACAGGGAAAACAAGGGGGGTGCGGGAAAACGTGCTATTGCTTTATGTGTGTTTGCATGGAATAGAGCGTCAGCACAAATGTTGCTATTTCTACAAAACTAAATGACGTGCTGAGTGCAAATAAGTCCATGTTTCATTTGTACAAATCGGTGGAGATAGAAAACATTTGCCTGAAAGGTGAAAGAAGGATACGCAGAAGAACGCCTTACAAAGACATGCACTTTAAAATAGGCATGAGCAAAACCGGGTATTTACCTGACCCGACCCGGTTTTGCTATACCCGACTTCGGGTCGGGTATTTTCGGGTCGGGTACGGGTCGGGTAACATGCCCAGGACCAATACCTGGACCCGGGATTTGGGGGCGGGTAATTTAATACCCGCCTGGCGGGTCCGGGTATACCCGACCCGGTTTCCTTGAAAAGCGGGTAGTATTACCCACGTTTTTCTACCCTGTTGGGCTACTAAGCCTACGACCTAGATGGTGCTTCAAAAAACTTGAGCTGCGGGAGGGAGTATGAGGTGCGCCAAATCTTTAACAGTTCTGGTGTGGTGAGTGGGTCGTGAGTGGGGCCTGAGTGGGGAGTTGGTTGGGTTTTCTAGTTGGAATGAGGTTGTGTGCGGTTTCTGGGGGTTTGATTCTTTGACCCCCAGAGTCAATTGGTTGGAACTCCAACCAATGTGGTGCTGTGCGGTTGGCTGGATTCAGGTTGGGTTGCAAATTCGATAGGGGAAATTCGATTGGTTTGACTTCCAACCAATTCCCCCCAATTCAACCACTTTGAATGCATCTGTATCTACGAAACCCAACCCCTGCCAATCTACAATGCTCTAAGTGACCTAGCAGCTCACGTAACCTAGAAATTTGATGAAATTTCTCTACCAGCGCGACTAATGTCTCGCTGGTTCCGTCGGGTAGACCGCTACCCGATTTCGGGTCAGGTACCCGCTACCCGACGCGTCGGGTAGCATTTCGGGTAGCGGGTATTGATACCCGCCCCGGGTAACCCGGACCCGACCCGCCGGGTAATTTTCAGGATTTCCGATACCCGACCCGCCCTAAAAGCGGGTCCGGGTACCGGGTACCCGACCCGGGCGGGTAGTTTGCTCAACCCTAACCAAGATGGTGCTTCAAAAAACGTGAGCTGCGGGAGGGAGTATGAGGTGCGCCAAATCTTTAACAGTTCTGGTGTGGTGAGTGGGTCGTGAGTGGGGCCTGAGTGGGGAGTTGGTTGGGTTTTCTAGTTGGAATGGGGTTGTGTGCGGTTTCTGGGGGTTTGATTCTTTGACCCCCAGAGTCAATTGGTTGGAACTCCAACCAATGTGGTGCTGTGCGGTTGGCTGGATTCAGGTTGGGTTGCAAATTCGATAGGGGAAGTTCGATTGGTTTGACTTCCAACCAATTCCCCCCAATTCAACCACTTTGAATGCATCTGTATCTACGAAACCCAACCCCTGCCAATCTACAATGCTCTAAGTGACCTAGCAGCTCACGTAACCTAGAAATTTGATGAAATTTCTCTACCAGCGCGACTAATGTCTCGCTGGTTCCGTCGGGTAGACCGCTACCCGATTTCGGGTCAGGTACCCGCTACCCGACGCGTCGGGTAGCATTTCGGGTAGCGGGTATTGATACCCGCCCCGGGTAACCCGGACCCGACCCGCCGGGTAATTTTCAGGATTTCCGATACCCGACCCGCCCTAAAAGCGGGTCCGGGTACCGGGTACCCGACCCGGGCGGGTAGTTTGCTCAACCCTAACCAAGATGGTGCTTCAAAAAACGTGAGCTGCGGGAGGGAGTATGAGGTGCGCCAAATCTTTAACAGTTCTGGTGTGGTGAGTGGGTCGTGAGTGGGGCCTGAGTGGGGAGTTGGTTGGGTTTTCTAGTTGGAATGGGGTTGTGTGCGGTTTCTGGGGGTTTGATTCTTTGACCCCCAGAGTCAATTGGTTGGAACTCCAACCAATGTGGTGCTGTGCGGTTGGCTGGATTCAGGTTGGGTTGCAAATTCGATTGGGGAAATTCGATTGGTTTGACTTCCAACCAATTCCCCCCAATTCAACCACTTTGAATGCATCTGTATCTACGAAACCCAACCCCTGCCAATCTACAATGCTCTAAGTGACCTAGCAGCTCACGTAACCTAGAAATTTGATGAAATTTCTCTACCAGCGCGACTAATGTCTTGCTGGTTCCGTTGGGTAGACCGCTACCCGATTTCGGGTCGGGTACCCGCTTCCCGACGCGTCGGGTAGCATTTCGGGTAGCGGGTATTGATACCCGCCCCGGGTAACCCGGACCCGACCCGCCGGGTAATTTTCAGGATTTCCGATACCCGACCCGCCCTAAAAGCGGGTCCGGGTACCGGGTACCCGACCCGGGCAGGTAGTTTGCTCAACCCTACTTTAAAATATTTCGATGGATGAACTTCTCAAGACTCTGGAATAGACGTGGGCAGATTAAATCGCATTGCATCGCATCTCATTGCTTTTAATCGCTTTTTTGCGATTGCAATGTTTTTTTTTTTTTTTTTTCATCCTGCGATACGATTTTTTTAATCGCGCGATTAAAATGCGATTTGCGATTTTTTTAAAATCGCATGAGATTTCAAAATACCACGGGGGCTTGTACCTGTCCTAAACCCAATACTGAACCGAATTATTTATCTGAACTACCGCCCACGATTGCCATTGATCCAAATTCCCATCGGTGTTGGTTTTTCTTATCCTGTTTTCTGAGGCGTTTTTTAATTTAGGTAAAATGCGATGCGATTTAAATAAACATCGCATGCAGTTTAAATAAACATCGTGCCCAAAATGCGATGTGCGATTTAAAAATTTCACGAAATTAAATCGCATCGCATTTTTTAAAATCGCACCCCTGTGCGATGCGATTTAAATCGCAATCGCATTTTGATCATGTCTACTCAGGAAGCATGTCACCAATGTAATTCTGGAGAGTATGACAACAATTAGAACATAAAAAGCAGATTGTTTCGGCTTGCAAGCCTGCTCCCACCTCTGACACTAAGCTCGTGGTCAGCTGTGATTCCCAATTTCAGTCATTGGCGTTCGGACTTCCAACAGCGAGAAAGGTTCCTTGGTCAGGTGTGAATGTGGCTCCCATGTGAACTCATAGAGCTCCCGTGAAAGGGGGCTTAGCACACTAAAGCAATGTCCCGATACTCACAAGTTTTCCAGGTTGCTCATACGCCCGAGAATGGACGGAATGGATCCGGTCAAGCTGTTTGCAGACAGGTCCCTGGTGGAATGCGAGAGGTATGCCATGGTTCACAAGGGGAGAGACACACGAGGGGAGTCAGTATGCTGTGATCTCCAAACATTGGCATGGGCCGGGGATTTCCCATCCCAAGATCGGCGACCTCGGCCCGGCCCGGCCCGACCAGAAACGGGTCAGGCCGGGCCATTCTGGGTCCATGCTCGTGCCCACATGTGGTAAACGTTTTGCACAAACAAGGGCAAAATGTTCGTCTCTCTGCAGGGATACAGTGCGCAGGCAACAGGTGCATGAGCAATGGAGCACAGTCTTAGCCCCAATGGAATGATCGCTTGAAGAGTTCAACAAGGCAAACAAACGGCTCACTCACAGCGTGGTCAAATATTGAAGGTTGCCTATTGTCGTTGGTATCGAGCCAGTCAGTTTGTTTTCACGGAGATTCCTACATTTCATAAAAAAAGAGTAGAGAAAATGGAGAGGAAATTCAAGCTGCAAACACAAATGGTGACCAAAATGGAACATAAGGGGCAGGTGCAAGGAGAGACAAGGTGCCGATTCCACATCCATATGAATGCTCAAGCAGATACATTTTGAGCTTCAGCAACTAATGACAATTTTGCCGAAAAAGAATCCAATTAAAGCAGAAACTTTGCTCTTTGTCCTCCTTACACCTCTCCTCTAGGGCCCAAGGCGTAGGATTTGATACCATTGCCAGGGCTTGAGTTCTCTGGCCTGCTGTCACGGCTCAATTCGAGCCGAGCCGCAAGCCGGCCTTGGCTCGCAGCTCGACCTGTCAACTAGCCTGATCCGGCTTGACGGGCTTGACGCGAAGCCCAGCGGCGGCGATTTGGTGGGGAAAATGCCTGACGATTTGGTGGGGAAAATGCCTGACGGCGCTCATCTGGCAGGCTAAACCCAACCGAGCGAGCCAAGGGTGGCTGATGTGATCGGCTCAAGCCAGCCCCTAGCTCGGCTTCTTTACACAAGCCCCGAGCCGGTAATTTGGCTTTCCAGCTCAGCTGGGCTGGTAGGAGGTGAGTCGGGCCTGGCTTGGCAGGTTCGACTTGGCTCTTGCTCATGTCTAGAGGAGCAAACTGAGGTAAAAGAACTCACAAGGAACCAAGATTCGAGGGCTTCCCAATGGAGTCAGGAATTGCACCAGTCAAGCTGTTGTTGCCAAGGTCTCTGATGAGAAACAACAGAGTGCATGCAAGAGGTATTTGATTGACACAACGGAGTACTAAAGAAAATACCATCTTGGGGGCGAGTGATAGTGCTTCAAATGTAGGTATTTGAGTCGTACATGTTCTTCTCCTGTTAAAGCCACGGTCTCGAGTAAAGCAACTGTTTTGCAGTTGGAGTCAGGGGTTGGTTGGGATTGGCTGACGATGTGCAAAATTTGGTTGGAGTTTTGACAAGGGGTGACGAGTTCGATTGGGTTTCATTTTTACAAAACCGCACCAGCTAGGCACGGGCTTGGTTCAGTTACCAAGCCTAAAACGCCCCCAAACCCCCGTGGAAAGTCAGAAGTCTCGAGTACCACGAAGTTGTTTTGCAAATGGTTTTGGGGCAAAAGCGGGTGTGTCGCACAGCAGGCAAATTGCGAGTTCGCGTACCCTAAACGGGGTAACCACGCAGCTACGGTTTTGCAGTTGCTGCCAGATCTCGGTACTTGAGACCCTGACTTTAACCAACGTGACAAACTTGGTTTGGAAAAGAATACTCAAAGCAGTTTGTTAGTAAAATATCATTTCAGCACCATCCACCCACATGACCAAGAACACTTTGTTCATATACATCCATTACCTCTTCGTGCAGCAAGGATAACAACACATCAACGCACCCCAAGAACAGAAGAAGTGAGGCAACTCAAGGGAAGCAAGTTGGCTAAGAAAGGAGAGAGAAAACTAGAGCAAACAGCGTTGTACTAAAAAAAAAAAAAAAAAAACAGGTAGACAATTGTAAACATCAACACAAGGATAAATTGAACCGAGATTGCAATCACTGAGGTATGTAATAAATCCGTGATAGTGATAGTAAACATTAGAACACACTAGCAGGCAAATGAAGTGGACGAGATCCATGCACTCAATGACTACACGAGCACACATCATGGAGAAGAAAGACGTCACAGTAAAGAAAAAAGGTAGCAGTGAAGGCTCACAAGTTGGTCAAGTCTTTAAGGTTGCCTATTGTTGCTGGTATCGAGCCAGACAGCTTGTTTACGCCAAGCCTTCTGCACTTAGGAAAAGTTTAGAGAAGGGAAAATGCCAAATCACAGATAGGCATGAGCAAAACCGGGTAATTACCCGACCCGACCCAGTTTTGCCATACCCGACCTCGGGTCGGGTAATTTCGGGTCGGGTCCGGGTCGGGTAATATGCCCAGGACCCTTACCCGGACCCGGTTTTTTTAGGCGGGTATTATAATACCCGCCTGGCAGGTCCGGGTATACCCGACCCGGACCCCCTGAAAAGCGGGTAATTTTACCCGCCACCTACTAGTGGACATCCTAAAGTTGGGCTAGGCTAGGTAGGGCTAGGCTAGGTAGGGCTCCACTCGTCCCCCCTCACCTCCAAAACTGTTTTGCCACAAAACCTAAAACACAGCGCGACTTACGCCCATGTCTAGGTGGAATACCCGACCTCGGGTAATTTTTTACCCGACCGGGTCGGGTACCCGTTACCCGACACGTCGGGTAGCATTTCAGGTAGCGGGTATTGATACCCGCCCCGGGTAACCCGGACCCGACCCGGCGGGTAATTTTCAGGATTTCCGATACCCGACCCGCCCTAAAAGCGGGTCCGGGTACCTGGTACCCGACCTGGGCGGGTAGTTTGCTCATCTGTGATTCACAGACATGTAGAATAACTGCGTTAGGAGGGGCTGTTTCAGAGTCCAACCATTTCTTTTTCAGACCTGGAAGTTAAACATGCCTGAAAAAATCCGTGCATGCACCGATTTACGGAGCAATTGCTCAGGTCTGCCTAGTCTGATCAGAACGAGCCGGTTCGGCTCGATTTGCGGTTGCTTCGAGCTCCGAGTCGAACTGGCCCATGTCTAGTCAAATTCAAGTTGTTCTAGCCCATGTATAGCAAGTTTACAAATAAATCTCGAGAAAACAGCTTTAGAATAAGCCCCCCCCCCAAAAAGAAAAAAAACAAACAAAAAAAACGGAAACAAACAATCTCCTACTCTTAGACCTTTGAGGGCTCAAACGAGCATAGACTTTACCACATAGCTCGTGGTAGGAAGTACACATGCAGGGTCTGGATGTGGCTCACAAGCCAACCCAGCGAAGAATCGCACTCACAAGGTGGCAAGACTTGGCAGCTTGCCAATAGAGTCAGGGATTGTGCCAGTCAAGCTATTGTTGCCAAGCCCTCTGAAGGGAGAACAACGAGGGGGGGATAGAGGTGGGGGGGATGCTGAGGGAAAGAATACACATTCCACACACAAGTTGTTTCACAATATAAAACGGAGTAGACAACATCTGCTAGTACCGGGTAGTATGAGTAACCAGTACCACCTGAGTACCTAGGCACTCTTACTCACAACTGTGTCAAGCTGGCCAAAAGTCCAATAATGGATGGAATGGATCCGGTGAAGCCATTGTTGTTTAATCTCCTAATGGGGGTGTGGAGATGGCAGGCAGGGCAAAGGATATTCCAATGAAGGAGGAGGACCGCTTCAAGGACGATAATTACAATGCATTGAAAGGCAATTTCACAGGCAGAGATGATATTCAGATGCTATTTTGTGACCATAATGGCAACCACCTTGAAATAGCTGTTGCTCGTGGAAAATGAATATGTGAGGGTACGACGTGAGGGTATCAGACATTAAGCCCACTTATCAAGAGACTCACAATATGAGCAAGTTTTTAAGGCTGCTAAATGCAGCTGGTATTGAGCCAGTCAGTCTGTTTCGATGAACATACCTGCACCATGTAACATTGGAGTGCAAAGTGAAGGAGAGAACAAGGCAGAAACACCGGTTTCTGACCATCTAAGTGCAACATAGAAATATGCAAGGAAATTTAACTGCTGAAAGCACATCTGTCCAGAAACGTGTTTGGGGCATATGTAGTTCTGGCATCAGTGTTCATAACAGGGCCTATGTGCATGGCACAAGGAGTGCGAGGTTCTGATGCTGTGACACACACACATGAACAAAAGTTAGCACTAACATGACACGGATATCTGTGAGCTTGGCAATGGAGTCAGGAATTATGCCAGTGAAGTTATTGATGTGAAGGTATCTGATGAGGGAGGTATCGATAGAGGACACGTGTGTGAAGAGAGTACGAAGGAAAAAAACCAAGACAAACTTAAAAAATAAGAAACCTGTGCAGTAAAAAAACGAACATTGGCAATGCAAGTATATCAGTGGGAGAGAAGAAAGCTGTGCACTAAACACATGGAAAAAAGAGATTTGCTCGAGTGCTTTCAAGAACATGGAAAATAACAAAAATTAGGATGATTCTCGAAAAGGGCAAGGATTGCATTTTGCGTGATTGAAACACCGGACAAAATTGGGGATAAAGAAAACAAAGGTAAAAGGCAAGAATCAGCAAAGCAAGGAAAATGCTACAGAATAACACACACAATCAAAAGAATGGGAGATAATTGAAGAGTACGTGTTGAAGAGTACGTGGAGAATGAATTATTCTGACTTGTTTGTGGCAGATAGTTGATCACTTGGAACGGACTGTGAGATTAAGGAGTAGTAAAGCAAGATTGATCATCTCAAGATTCTCACAAGTCGATCAATTTTGGAAGGCTATCAATCATGGGTTCTATTGGGCCAACCATGTTATTTCCATGAAGAAACCTGCAGTATGTAATAGAGGAATTCCAAACAAGAAGCATAATGAATGCAAAAGTATCATCAGATCAGAGTGAATCTCTCGTCAAGTCAAATCACAGTAGCAGGTGCAAAGAGCGACCAGTTGTTAAGCAAAAAAAAATGTCACAAGAACCCTCTTGTCCCAGCTTCAGATCAGAACCAATCCCAGCCTGGTTCAAAATCAGGCAGGAAGTATTAAAAACCCTCTTGTCTATCACATACGATTTTTGGGCTTAACGCATAAGATTAATGAACACATATTGTTAACTCAAAAAGACTGCTGGCTGTTGTCATTTCAAGGGCAAGGTTCGTAAACCACCCTTGTACAAAGTGTGTTCCAGCACATTCTGCGCGCAAGGGCTTAACACCATTGTATCGGTCAGCCATTCAACCAACTACGTGCCTTTCTAACTCATTCGGCCTATTCTTGCCTGAAAAAGGCCCCTTTGGCCACAACTTCGAGTCATCAGCTGATTTTAAAACACGAAGAAGCGCAACGGATTTGTGCTTGCATTTCCAACGGCTTGCATGATTCCGAGATGAGTTCCTTCGCTACCACAGCTGGTCAGCATGCAGGGTCGCCTTGTGGCTCACATGACAACCCAACAATGAGTACATACAAGCCACGGAGATTTGAGAGTTTGTTGATGGATTCAGGAATCGAGCCCGTCAAAGTGTTGTAGCCAAAGTTTCTGGTGAGCAAACAATGGAGAGCATGCATGTGGCAAAAACTCGCATGAGCAGACAAGGCGGGTTTAAACTCAGCTCTTCTGCTCGCCTCAGAATTGGCGAGTAACATGGCAGCGTATAAATGAATGTAAAGCGAAAAATCAAGGAAAAAAAACTCGGAAAATAATGCTCGCTTCGCCTTGCCGAGGGAACCGATACTCGAGTTATACTCGGGGGGGGTATAGGGCGAGCATTTATTTTCCACCCAGTAGTAGTTAGGTGGGGTGGGGTTATGGGGACAAGCAGCAACTCGAGGTGAGTAATACTTACCTTGTCGCGAGTAGAAAAAAACCCGCCTCTAGTAAAAAAAGGACTCGCCTGACAAGGCGAGAAACGAGGCGGCATTTTTATATTTTTCACCCGAACGAGGAATGCTCGCCTCGCCCCGTTACTCGGCGGCGGGCATGACGCTTGGTGAGGCAAGTACTACTCGCCTCGCCATTTGCACATCTACAAAGAAGTAGAGTGTTGCTGCACGTATGTTTGGTCAATGTGCTAAAGGATGGATGGGCACACTACCAGCGACGTTTATATCGCTATAAACACAGCTTAGGGTTTTGTACGTACCCTTGTTCTTCCCCATCTCCAGCGACACAAACTATTTTCTTGGAAAAGCACTCGAGCCATTTTCTGGGTGATTAATCGGTATGATGCACGTGTTCCATGGTGGTTCTCTTTGGCTTTCTTTGCTACGTCCCTGCTACGTCCTCTTCAGACGGACCACAGGCTAGCGTCAGGCACAGCCCGGCCTGAGCCCATTCGCTTGATAGCGGGACCGGGGTGGATGGGCTGGGCCGGCCTGAGCACAATACAGATTGTGAGCAGTGTAAGTATTTCTGAGAAAATTACGAAATTGTGAGAGTAGTTACGACCATCTGGCTGGATGCGGGTTGGGGTGGACAGAACAGGCTGGCCCGAGCACCCCCCTCTGCCATGTCTACTGTAAGCATCACGATACAACCAACCAAGGCAAGTCTCATCTATACCATAACCAAGACGCTCACAAATATGTCACTTTTTGAAGGTTGCTGAAGGTTTCTGGTATTGAGCCACGCAGTTTGTTATTGAGGACCCATCTGCAGTTTGTACAACAGGAGCATAAGAAACGAAGATTAGTGGCCGGACACAAAATGTGAGCATGTAGCTCATGGCTAGACCTGCGTAAACCATGGCGTACATACTTCCACTCCAATCTGAGATGGAGATCATCCATGCCAAGAATTTAGGATCAGGATATGGTTTGCTCACCACATGTGAACCCAATGAAGTACTCACAAGTAAGAAAGGTTTGTGAGATTTCCAAGGGAGCGGGGAATTGTGCCACTAAGGCTGTTGTACGCCAGGTCTCTGATGAGAAACAGATCGAGGGCACGCATATGGCATCAGCACTGAGAATCATTTTGCATGCATATGCAGTAGAACATAGCAAGACCTGCTTAGCTCATGGTGTGCATAATTCTAATCTGAAATGGAGCTCAACCAATTCCAGGAACTCAGGGTCAGGCTGTGGCTCACTCACATGTGAAATCAATGAAGAACTCACAGGTAGGAAAGGTTTGTGAGATTGCTAAGGGAGCTGGGAATCGTGCCAGTGAGGCCATTGTATTGCAATACCCTGATGAGGGAACAATCGAGGGCAAGGCAACAGCAATAAAATCCATTTTGCACGAGAGACAGACGGAAACTGTTTCCGAACAGGATGTTGCTGTTTTTCTTGCCTGCACCTTTTGTATATCTTGTTGAGTCGCTTGTCTCATCATATCCAGAATCCCAAGTCCTTCTGAAGGGAGAAAGGTTCTTCTAGAAGAACCTTTTTCTGGAGGAAAAGGCGGTTTCAAATACTACAGAAAATTCCATCTAAGCTAGCTCGCCATGCTTCATGATGCTTCTGAACTCATGGATCTTCGTTTTTGCTACATTTGGGGCAGGTTCAGCAAGGCAACCACCCTATGGCAGTGCATATTATACAAGCAGGGGAGCATTTTCCAACTGGGCATCCGTTTTAAGGGCTTACATTGTACTTCCAAAGAGCTCACGGTTCATGGCAACATGCATACTTGTAATCTGAGATGCTGCTCATCCGTGCAGAGAATGGGCAAGTGGGGGTTTGGCTGTGGCTCACACGCTTACCAAATAAAGAATGGCACTCACAAGTTACGAAGATTTGAAAGCTTCAGAATGGAGTCCGGAATTGTGCCCGTAAAGCTGTTGGCGCCAATATTTCTGATAAGCCAACATACAAGGGCACGCATACATCAACAGCACTGAAGACCATACTGCGCACACATGAATTGATTGAAACATAATGGTGAGGGACAGACCGACACCCATCGTTTCCAAACTTGGTATTGTTGTGCCCACTTGCCTCGTGCTGTGTATTTCCTTGAAGAGATTTACTTCTAGTAAAACCAATTAGAGTTTTGGAGAAAATAAATGCGCCAATATGCTTCGAGCTATTCATGCTAAAGGGACGAGCTCGGACCGGGGCCCGCTTTCGATGGTGCTACGTGCCACGGTCAGGCTTTGGCAACTGCCTGGCTGGAGCCCGTGTGTAGGGGTCGAGCCAGGCCAGCCCAACCCGTCACGGGTTGATGCTCAACTTTTTGTTTAAATTGCTTAAGAAAAGGAATGAGAGTTAACTGTTTACGAAGACTGGAAAAGACATCAAAGGTTGCAATATATAGCAAAGAGAACAACAATGCGAGTGTCCGAAAGCAAGTGCTGTAAAAGGCGCAACATCAGATATAGTGCAATGAATAAACGCTCGGTCACAATTAGGAATACACAGCTCTAGGCGTGCATGGCTCCAATGAACATTCTAGGGTCTGCCTGTGGCTCGCATGTCAACACGATACAATTGATGGAACTCACAAGTGAGTAACGGTTGTGAGCTTGCTAATGTAGTCAGGAATGGTACCAGTAAACCTGTTGTAGCTAAGGTCCCTGTTGAGGGAAGAATGGGGAGCATGCATACGGCAGCAGCACTAATAAAGATTTTGCATGCGTGTGCAAAAGAATCGGTATGGTGGAGCACAGCAGACAGACAGGCACTTTTTACAAAATGAACTGTTTGAGGCGACCTTCGAAGAGAGAACAGATCGACAAGACCTTGCCTTAGCAACATGCTACAACATCATAAAACACTGAACTGAATCATTATATGGTTGCGAGTAGGCTTCAGCATAGACTTGAGCATTTTACCCGGTCGGGTCGCGGGTACCCGACCCGACCCGACATTTTGGCCGGGTCGGGTAATAGGATTTTGTCGAATTACCCGGCCGGGTCGGGTCGGGTACTCGGGCCGGGTAATGCATACCCGTTACCCGAGAATTACCCGAACTGTCGGGTAATTTATTACCCGTCGGGTCGCGGGTACCCGACCCGACTGTGGGTTTGTTACTCTGTGTTTGCTGAATTTTACAGCCACCTAGGGGTACCCGGGTAATATTACCCGACTTCAATTAAATGCGGGTCGGGTATACCCGACCCGACAGACGGGTACCCAATTACCCGGTATTAAAATGTCGGGTCGGGTAACAGACCTCCAAACATTACCCGGAAATTACCCGACCCGACCTGACCCGGACCCGATTGCGGGTAGGGCAAAACCGGGTCGGGTCGGGTAATTACCCGGTTTTGCTCATGTCTACTTCAGCATACTACCCGCCCGGGTCGGGTACCCGTTACCCGGGTCCGCTTTCGGGGCGGGTCGGGTATCGGGAATCCTGAAAATTACCCGGCGGGTCGGGTCTGGGTTACCCGGGTGGGTATTCGATACCCGTTACCCGAAACGTTACCCGGCACGTCGGGTAACGGGTACCCGACCCGAAATCGGGTAGCGTGTCTACCCGACGGAACCAGCGCGACATTGGTCGCGCTGGTAGAGAAATTTCATAGGTTACGTGAGCTGCTAGGTCACGTAGAGCATTGTAGAATGGCAGGGGTTGGATTTCGTAGATCCAGATGCATTCAGAGCGGTTGAATTGGGGGAAATTGGTTGGAATTCAAACCAATCGAACTTCCTCCATCGTTTTTGCTACCCAACCTGAATCCAGCCAACCGCACAGCACCACATTGGTTGGAGTTCCAACCAATTGACTCTGGGGGTCAAAATATAAAACCCCCAAAAACTGCACACAACCCCATCCCAACTAGAAAACCCAACCACCTCCCCACTCACGCCCTACTCACCAGAACTGTAAAAGATCTGGTGCACCTCTTACTGCCTCCCGCGACTCACGTTTTTAGGTTGTAGGTTTAGCCCAGCAGGGTAGGAAAACACGGGTAATACTACCCGCTTATCAAGGAAACCGGGTCGGGAATACCCGGACCCGCCAGGCGGGTATAGAATTACCCGCCGCCAAATCCCGGGTCCGGGTATTGGTCCTGGGCATGTTACCCGACCCGTACCCGACCCGAAAATACCCGACCCGAAGTCGGGTATAGCAAAACCGGGTCGGGTCGGGTAAATACCCGGTTTTGCTCATGCCTAGTTGCGAGTAGGAGGACAAAACACGACATGTATGATTCATCTACAACTGATAGGGTAAAGGGTGAGGTTAAAGCCGCTGGTCCAAATTGTTCAACCTTATTAATCTTGCACCTTGCAAAATATAGGGGGAAAGGGGGTCGCTGAAAATGAATGGACTTGACTCACGCAAAACTGTGGCGAGGGGCTGGGTTTTGACCCCTCAAAGTTAGAACGTGTTTAGACGGTCTCTCACATGAATCTCGGCAAATTCCGAGTCTGAATTGCATCAAATTTCGTGTCAGATTTCGCTCTCGTCAAAGCACACTGCACGGTAGCGTGAGAGTCAGGGAGATGTTGACCTGGGAAGAAGCCCTAAGAACACGCCCTTAAGCGCAAATGATCACAGGCTGCGTGAAATCTACTGCTGAAATTTCGCGCAGCAATTTTGGCAAACAAATTGGATTGTTAGCTGCACGATCAATTTCCTCACAACATTCCCGCCACGAAAGTCCCAAAATGCAGCTTCATCTTTCAACTATTTGCTGGTGCTGCACTTCTTGGTTTGTAAGTGGCGTTTTCTAGATTAATAAAGTTGGTACTAAAATTCTGCAATTTGGGTCAACGGCTTTAAGCAATCGTTCTGGATGAACATTGAGACCAAATGGAATTAAAAAATGTGACCCTAAGAACTAGACATGAGCACGGGGCGAGGCGAGGATTCCTCGACCCGAGGATCTCATCCTCGCGCCCTAGCCGGGGCGGGTCGAGGAATCCTCGCCGAGGATTTTTCATGAAAATCCCCCCTCGACCCCCGGGTTTTGGGGTCGAGGATTGAAATCCTCGCCTCGAGGATTAATTCCTTGACCCGGGGCGAGGATTCCTTGACCTGGGCGGCTGGGGGGTTAGGGGGAGGGGGGTAATGGGAACATCCTCGCCCATTTTCCTGGAGGAAAAATCGAGGCCTCGAATCCTCGCCCATTTGCCTCGAGGAAAAATCGAGGCCTCGAATCCTCGCCGAGGCGGGGCGAGGAATCCTCGCGAGGATTTTTCCCATAAAACCTGCCTCGACCCCCGGAATTTCGAGGCGAGGATTTCCGAGGCGAGGAAATCCTCGCCTCATTGCTCATGTCTACTAAGAACTGAGGTAGCCAAGTAGTCAAGGGTCACTCACATCTCTGCCAAATGCCGAAGGCTGGCTATTGTTGCTGGAAGTGGGCCAGTCAGATTATTATGTGAAAAATCCCTGCATTTCGTAGAATTGGAATGTCAAGGGGGGGCGGGAAAGGGGGGTTTAGGGTAGGCCTGAGCATTAACCCGACCCCACCCGACTTTGCCTAACCCGAGGTCAGGTTCCGGTCGGGTCGGGTTGGGTCAGGTCGGGTCGATCTTAGGATTTTGCCGACCCGACCCGACCATAGCTGGTCGGGTCATCTCCTACCCGCGGTCGGGTCGGGTTGATGGGACCTGACCCAACCCGACTTGACCCGACCCAACTAGCAGCTATTTTTTTCCCAAGGGGGAACAGCTGGATTTCGTACTTTCAAGATCCAGTGAGTCCTCCTCGTGTCTCCTAGCCCACCCACCTCATCCCTCCAAAACCTCGACCTGTGGTTTGGGTGTTGGCGAAGTATTGGTTAGGTTGGAGGATGTTGACGAAATCCAGTGACGAAATGAATGGGTGTTGGCGACTTTTTGGTTGGTTTGGGGGTGTGGCGAAAGAAGGCTTGAGCAAAATACCCGCCCGGGTCTGGTACCCGGGACCCGGATCCGCTTTTTGGGCGGGTCGGGTATCCAGATTCCGGAATATTACCCGGCGGGTCGGGTCCGGGTTACCCGGGCGGGTATTCGATACCCGTTACCCGAAACGTTACCCGACGTGTCGGGTAACGGGTACCCGACCCGGTCGGGTAAATAATACCCGGGGTCGGGTATTCCATTTAGACATGGGCGTAAGTCGCGCTGTGATTTAGGTTTTGTGGCAAAACGGTTTGGGAGGTGAGGGGGGACAAGTGGAGCATTTGTAAGGAGAAGTTGGAGTTTGTAGATGGGGAGGATTTAAGTGCAGTGAAAGGGAGAGAGTTGGGTGAGGTTGGAGAAAAGGTTGGAGTTTGTAGATGGGTAGGAGTTCAGTGCGGTGAAAGGGAGGGAGTTTGGTTGGAAATTGGAGTGTGTAGACGGGGAGGAGTTCAGCGCGGTGAAAGGGAGGGAGTTTGGTTGGAAATGTTGGAGTTTGTAGGCAGGGAGGAGTTCAGTGCGGTGAAAGGGAGGGAGTTTGGTTGGAAATTGGAGTTTGTAGGCAGGGAGGAGTTCAGTGCGGTGAAAGGGAGGGAGTTGGGTGGTCAAAATTCGACCCCAGAAAACACGACTCTCATTTGAGAGTCGCGTTTTGAGAAACCCAACCTAGCCTAGCCCGTTTTTAGGATGCCCCCCCACTAGTAGGAGGCGGGTACTACTACCCGTTTTTCAGGGTAGCCGGGTCGGGTATACCCGGACCCGCCACGCGGGTATTGTATTACCCGTCCCCTAAGGCCAGGTCCGGGTAAGGGTCCAAGGCATATTACCCGACCCGGACCCGACCCGAAAATACCCAACCTGAGGTCGAGTATTACAAAACCGGGTCGGGTCGGGTAATTACCCGGTTTTGCTCAACCCTAGGCGAAAGATTGGTTGGCTTGGGGGTGTTGGCGAGATTTTGGTTTGGTTGCGGGTGTTGGCGAAAATTCGGGTGGTTTGAGAATGTTGGCGAAAATTGGTTAGGTTGGGGGTGTTGGCGAAAATTGGTTGGGTTGGGGGTGTTGGCGAAAATTGGTTGGTTTGGAAGTGTTGGCGAAAAGTTGGTTTGGTTGGGCGTGTTGGCGAAAATTGGTTGGGTTGGTGGTGGTGTCGACGAGCTTGTTTGTTGAGTTGGTTGTCGATTGAGTCGATCCAATAGAAATCGATCTGGATCTGTTTAGACCCTAAGCTATACCAATAAGCATGGTGGGGAGTAGATTAGTGGTAGGAATGAGTTGTATGCAGGGTAAAAATGGGAGGTAGCCTAAGTAGGATCTGGAAAATGGCCCATCTGGTCGAAAATTCGACCAAACCGTCAGACTTTCCAGATCTGCGCAACTCAGGTCGCGCAGACTGCGTCGGGACGAGGCGCGGCCCGACTTCGGGTCGGGATGGGTCAGGTCAACCCGAAGATGTATACCCGAAGTCGGGTCGGGTCAACCCGACATGTCGGGTTCACCCGGACCCGTCCATGTCAGGTTCGGGTTGACCTGACCCGACGGGTAAAAAAGAAACCCGAAGGGTCGGGTTCTTCTGACGGGAAACCTGACCCGACCCGTCAAAAATTTGGGCTCGGGTCGGGTTACCCGACCCGACCCGACCCGTTGCTCAAGCCTAGTTTAGGGTTTCGGATTTAGGGTTTCGGGTTGTACTACATCCATGTTGAGGGCGAAAAGCATTCTGCTAGAAAACAACACAGAGGGCATGCACGGCAACACCTGAGCCCAAGCCGTGCGGAGAACGAGGATGCAGGGTGTGGCGGTGGCTCACATGTCAACCCTATGAAGAAAGAACTCACAAGGTACGAAGATTTGTGAGCTTGCCAATGGAGGGAGGAATGGCGCCACTCAAGCTGTTGTATTGCAGGGATCTGAAGAAGGGCAAGCATGTGGCAAGAGTAATGGTTGACACATTGCAAGCACATGTCGTAAGCCAATATGGTGAGGGATATATAGACACACTGTCTGCTTACTTGGTGTCGCCTTATACAACTTTTTCGAGTATACCTCTCAATAGACTGGGTTCTTCCACTACGCCTAGAAAGTTGTGTGGATAGAGAGAAAAAATAAATAAATAAAAAATGATGATACCCATGAGCATAATTAGGCTTGAGCAAAATACCCGACCGGGTCGGGTATTCGTTACCCGGATCCGCTTTTAGGGCGGGTCGAGTAGCGGGATTCCTGTTAATTACCTGGCGGGTCGGGTCCGCGTTACCCGGGCGGGTATTCAATACCTGCTACCCGAAATGCTACCCGACGACGCAGGTAACGGGTACCCGCCGGGTCGGGTATTGAATACCCGAGTTCAGGTAAAAACCCAAATCGGGTCGGGAAATCGGGTCGCGCTACTACCCGTCAGCAGCAGCTTGATCAAAATTGGGGAGGGTTGGAAATTTCGACCATTTGGTCAAAAATTCTTCCCCAACTCCCCAGATCTGGTTTCGTGTAGTCCCTTTCCTAATCGCGACACCTAACAGCAGCACCCACTTTAGTCACAAATCTCCCCGCACCTTAATGCGTTTGATCTGTCATTATGGCGAATTTAAGGTACGGAGGGGTTGTTTGCCCTAGGGTTCTAGGGTTTCGGAGATCTAGGGCTCCAAGAGCTAATCGCCCCCTCAAATTCCCCATTCTAGCGCATTGTTTAGGGTTGGGAGCTGTCCCGTCATGCACTTCTATGACCGTGACGGGCGTCGCGTCCCTTTCGGGGGCGGTAGGTTTGAGGGTGGCGAGCTCTAGAGCGGTGCCATGCCTGGAGCATCTCTGACTGGCCTCCCTCTCCCTAGCGGCCGCCAGAGTTTTGCTTTGGCGAGCGGTGTCCGTGCGGATGAAGGGGGAGGGGAGGATGACTTAATGGAAGAGGTGGAGGAGGGCGATGCAGGAGGGGGGGGGGTTTGGGGCAAGCCATGGGGGGGGAACGGTGGGCGGGGTGGTGGAGGGGGGGGAGGAGGCGAGGGTGACCAGGAGTGGCATCCCAATGCGGAGTAAGAGGATGAGATGTCGGGAGATGGACGTGCCAAGGAGAGGGGGAGGGGGAGGGCGAGGGAGAGGGGCAGGTGAAGGGGGAGGGGGGGGGAAGAGGCCGCGGCCGTGGTGGATGTGGTCGGGGGAGGGCAGGGCCGATTGGTGCCGGCGGTGGCACTAGTGGTGCGGGGGAGGTGGAGGGCGGTGGGGATGCAGCGCGCTTTGGGGATGCTGAGGGCGACGGGGAGGGGGGTCATGCGCAGTGTGGTACGCCTGCGCCGGGGCGACCTGTCATCCCACGTGGGGGGGGAGGGGGCACGGGTGGACAGCATAAGCGGTCGCGAGTGGGCGACAGCTCTCAGGTGACAGTCGGGTACTGGGGTACTGTCCCTGGGCTGATGCAGGGGATGTTCTTTCAGCCGGAGGGGGGGGAGGGGGCACGATGCTGCAAGGTATGCGAGGTGCCGATCGGTTGGGGTGAGAGCAGCACTGGTTCGGCATGGAAGCACAAGCGCACGTTCCACATGCCTCACCTCCAGATCTGGTATCGCCTCTTCACTAATGCCAACAAGAAGCCGGGGTTGGTGTTTCCGGCGAAGGGGTACGCGGGGGTGCCAGGCGGACTAGACCCGTGGGAGGGACCATGCTGACGCCTACCCTGACATCCCTGGTGCGGGGAGGGGCGGTTCGGGTGGGGGTGTCAAGGCGGGTCAACGGCAGATCCCACAATTCTTCGGTCAACGCGTCACGCAGGCAGGAGCATTTGCGCCACGCTCTTGTCGAGCTGTTCGCGGACGCGGACCTTCCTTTCCGTCTGGTCGAGCGCCCCTCGGTAAGAACTGAGAGAGAGAAGCTTCTAATGTTTCGCCCTCGTTCACCTCCGCGCATGTTCGATCTCTCACGTGTTGTTATGCATTCTCCACCCAGCCATGTGAAGCGGCACTTCTGCACACGCCCACCCATCTGCCCACCCCCACCCCCCCCCCCCCCAATCCCCTTCCTTCCCTTCCCCAGTTTCGCCGCTACACCCGCCTCCTCAATCCTCCCGCTGCAGAACTGCTCGTCTCCCATTTCCGCCTCGCTCGCGACATGCTCGTGCAGGGCGACGCCGCGCACGAGCGCCAGCTGCAAGAGATTGTTGGTGATGGGGCGGGGGGGAAGATCTCCCTCACCACGGACATCTGGTCCAGCCCGGCGCAAGACGCTTTCCTGACTGTCACGGCGCACTGGATCACGACAGACTACCAGCTGCGCCAGGCGCTGCTGGAGTTTGAGGAGATTCACGGATCGCACACCGGGGTGCTCATTCCAGAGACCTTGGAGAAGGTCATATCGGATTAGGGGCTGAAAGACTCCATTCTCGGCATCACGACGGACAATGCCGAGAACAACATCAAGGTGCTCAAGATCCTGACTGGCGACCCGAAGACCGAGGACGACCGCAACCCACCAGTGCTGAACCCCGACTTCAGGTGTGTGATGCACGCTCGCAATGCATGGCAGAGTTTGGCTTGACATGGCATGGGATGCCATGCCATGCCATGCCATGCCTTGCCATGCCATGCCATGCCATGCCTTGCCATGCCATGTCTTGCCATGCCATGCCTTGCCATGCCATGCCATGCCATGGCATGTTCGCTTCTGGACAACAATCCTCTATCGCTTCCATGGACTTCCCCCCTTCAGGTGCCAAGCGCACATCCTGAACATCGCGGTCCAGAAGGCGCTAGATGTCCCGGCCGTCCTCGAGCCGCTCAAGCGTATGCGGGAGATTGTGTCGTTCATTGGGTGGAGCAGGACGCGCTCGGACGCGTTCGAGGACGAGCAGCTACGGCTGGCGTGTCAGGGTGGGCACGTTCTCCGCCTCATCAGCAACACTCCCACGCGATGGGGTTCGTCCTATGAGATGGTGGACCGCTTCTTGAAGCTCAAGGATCCCATCCTGCTGTACTTCTCGGGACTCGAGGTATGGTTCCCAAGCTCCTAGTTTGCCACCATCCCGCTTGCATTTTTTTCCTCACCGAAATGCTGACAGTCTCCCAAGGCCGCCCATGCGTCTTTCACTCCTCACATCTGAGATTTTCCCTACGCTACTTCCTGTGCCCCAATCCCCCATCCCACAATTGGCGCGCGACAAGCGGACGCACGATCAAGCTGCAAATGTCCGCCTCCCGGACGCGCACTGAGACGCTCTAAGGCTTATGGTGGAATTCCTCAAGCCCTTCCATGACATCATTATTGCGGCAGGGGGGTCGTTGTACCCCATTGCCGCAGCAGTGGTGCCGCAGTACAACCTGCTCATGGATGAGCTTCAGCATCTCTACCACGGCCTCGAGACCGGGGAGCTGTGCAAGCTGTTGGCAGAGGCGGCTCTGAAGATACTGAAGAAATATGTGAACGGCATCAACGTGGAGCTCGTAGTGGCCACATTCTTGGACCCTATGTTCAAGCAGCTCTACTTCCAGCTCGAGCGGTGGGAGGGGGCCCACCCTGAGCTAGCGGGAGAAACCGCTGGGGGGCGTAGGGTGGTGCGAGACGTCACTGAGGAGCAGGTGGTGACATGGGCCAGGGCGCGCTTGCAGTCTTACCTGAACGAGCAGAGTAGGCGTGCGGTGGACGGGGCCCAGGAGGGGACGAGCATAGGGGGAGCGCGGGCCGGGAGGAGAGGAGTGGCCAGGGCCCGAGGTGGGGGGCGCTTGTTTGACAAGCTGGGCTCGGCGATGGCAGAGGTGGAGGCGAGAGCGGGAGTGGCTGCGCCGGACGAGGTTCACAGGTACCTCCAAGAGGCGCTTTTGGACATGGACGAGTGTCCGCTCGAATGGTGGCGCACACGCTCGTCGTACCCGGGGTTGCAGGCGATGGCACGAGACTACCTTGCCATCCCTGCAACCTCGGCACCGAGCGAGCGGGCGTTTAGCCAGGGGCGGAACGTGGTCACCTGGCAGCGTCACCGCCTGAGCACTGTTCAGGTGCGTGCAACCATGACTCTCAAGTCATGGATGGCACAGCGCGCTGACGGTAGCCTCCCGCTGGCGACGCTGGATTGGGCCATGGGGGGGTTGTGCATTGAGGGTGATGACGAGGGGTTGTGAAGAGTGGGTACATGTTAGCCCCATTGGACATTTCTTCCTATTATATACATTCCAGTGCTTGTGCCATGCTCGGACCCAGCATTGAGCTGTAGGGCCATGCAGACATGGCTTCATGCTTGTTAAATGATTGTGACCAGCCGTAGAATGAACTGCGTGCTCTAAACGTATAGTACGTATTTCTTGATGCCTTGTATAGCAATCCCAAACAAGCTAGGCAAGTACACGAGTATCGTGGTGGCTACAAGCCCGCATAAATCCAGGTTAGAATTTTCCGCATGACCACATTGCTGTCACAACCCTGGGAGACAGATGGACGAACAAGAAAAATGCATTCGTGTAAAAAACATACCTTGTTTAGGCCTTCTTGTATGGGCGGGTAGCATTACCCGCTTTTAAGCTAAATCGGGTCAGGTATACCCGGACCTGCCTAGCGGGTATTAAAATACCCCCCTATGAAAACCGGGTCTGGTATTGGTCCAGGATGTAATACCCGACACGGACTCGACCCGAAATTACCCAGCCCGAAGTCGGGTATAGCAAAACCAGGTCGGGTTGGGTATTTACCCGGTTTTGCTCAAGCCTAAGCATAATCCACTCAACATGATGTCCGACTCTCAAAAGCTCGGCAGGTAGGCATGAGCAAACTTTTAACGTTGCCCCGACTTGGCCTCGACCGACTTGACACGGGTAGATTCGGTCGAGTCGCGAGTTAAACTCGACTTGATTGACATTTTTTGGCAAGTTTAAATCGAGTTTGCTGTTCATCGGACAAGCCTCGAGGTTGGCCTGTGGCCCGTGGGCTGAGGAAGGGTCAGGCCGGCCCGAGACGGGCCTAGCAACCTCCAGGCTCGTGGAGCTACGTCTGCTGATCTGCGCAGCCGCCGGCCACTCTATCTGCGCACAACTTGCGTTTCGCGCGGCCACTCTATCTACACAGGCCGCACAGGCCGCACGCACAAGCCTTGGCGTGCATCAGGCTGGGTCCAAGAGATCTCGAGCCCGTATACTGGCCGGCCCATCCAATGAACTTGCATACATCCATGGGAAGACATAACTGCTGCTTGACAGTTCTGTTTTGACATGCATCCTTCTCCCGAGCCCTTGCCTATCCTGAGGAGAACCGTTTGGGCCGTGGATCCCTGGGGATGTGGCGTCGGCCGAGGGGACCAAAAGCCCCCCCCATCAGACGAGTCGAGCCATGCTCGACTTGCATCACGAGGCAGCTTCACTCGGCCGCAGAAGCTGAGTCACGAGTCAGGAATTGGGAGGCCCAACTCGAACCGAGTCGAGTCAAGAATCAACTAGCCGCCAGGTTGAGTCAGAGCCGACTCGGGAAGTCACTTGCGGGAGAGAGTGAGGGATCGATCATCGAGGGAGTGAGAGGAAGGAGGGAGGGTGATGGATGGAGGAAGTGAGAGAAAGGAGGGGAAGAGTGACGGATGGAGGGAGAGAGAGGAGAAGAGGGAGCGAGGAGGGGATGGAGATGCCCGGAGGAAGTCGGACTGGAGATGCCCGGAGGAAGTCGGACTGGGCATGCCCGAAGGCTTGGATGGGCCGGGCCGGCCCTGCCCGCCACTGCCCTGCCCCCAGCCTGGTTTTGCCTGGCAGGCGGCCCGGCCTGCCCCCGGGCCAAGACCGGCCCGACCCATAAACCCGGGCACGAGCCGGGGATTCTGCCCAAAGTCAGCCTGATCTTGGCCAGGCCCGGGCTGGCCCGACACAAAGTCCAGCAGAATCGGGCCGGACCTGTGCTGATGCCTAAATTGGGACCTTGTATTCGAGGCTCAAATGATACAAAGGGATCACTCACATGCCCGTTATCATGCCTTGGGCATCGCAGGTGAGATTGCTCGCACTGCTGCAGTCCCCGCCCACTTCCCAGCCTTTTATCGTTGTGTTCCACGCCGTCTGCCAGTCCAGCAGGACTTGCGCTGTGGGGGGGGGGGGGGGGTGGGGGGTGGGGGGGGTGTTTTGGAGGAGGGTGGGAAGGGGACGGGGAGGGGGAGGGGGAGGGGAAGGGTGTTTCAACCTTGAACATCACATGCCGCCCACCTGTTGGCAGCCTACACGCGATGACGGAAAGAAGGAAGAGAAGGCAGGGAGCAACCACGAGTCGAGCAAAGGTCCTGTCTCCGGGATTCGCATTTTCACGTTCTCCCACCTCTCAACCACCTCTCCTCTCCCACTGCCCACAGAACTTGCGCTGGGGGCAGATGAAAGCGAGAAGGTCAGGGATCACAACAGAGGGGAGGTAGTAAACTTGCTATGACCATCTCCAAATCTCACTCCCTACTGCCACCTGTTGGCAGATAAGGACGAGCTCCGGGGAAGGGCGATAAGCGAACGAGAAGACAGATGAGAGCATCGGTTTTTTATCGCTCCTCCTACAACCGCTCACCACCTCTACTCAGCCACTATCTCGCATCGTCATCTCCACAACTTAAACCCTTACTCCTCCACGCTCCTCCGCCCTTCCCCCGCCCACTATTCTAGTTTCTGCCCTTCCCTCACCCGCTTTCCCATTCTCCGCCACTCACAACCCCTTTATCCGCCTTCCCTCGCCCACTTTCCCGTTCTTCCCACCCCCCCTTCCCCACCACAACCCCCCCTCCCCTCACCCACTGTCTCTTGTCCGCACCCTGGGAGTTGGCGAGGGGAACGCAGTCGACTCGCGAGACCGCGAGGCACGTCAGGAGCAGCGCGCCGAGCTGAAGGGCGGCGCGCTCCATCACGCCGCGATGGACGGCGCGGCAGTAAGTGCGAACTACAGGTTTAGGGTTCGCTTTGCAGTAGCGCTGCCTCGAGATGTTCGCTTCGAAATGCAGCGAGCTATACTTACAAATTTGGGTAGTCCAAGGACTAGTCTGTCTGGACTGGAGTTGGCACTTGAGCCTGACGGCGAGCAAAATGATGCATCGTGAGTCTAACCACCGAACTGTACACATTAAGACCTTTCCCAAAGTCTGCAGACCGCACTGCGACGTCGAAAGCGGACAGACACCCTGCGTCGGGAGTGTTCTGTTCCACCACACTAAACCGTATGGTATCTCGCTTTAGTAAGCAGTACCGTGCTCTTCCTGAACTGTCGGTTTGGACGGCATTTTCGCGCTGCTCGTCTCCCACACTCGGGGAATCGCCTCTGGATTACCCGTTAGCAGACGGGATTTCTCCCAAAAAACCCGTTTCGGAAAGGAATCGGCCGCTACAAATTCGGCTAGCACGGAATTAAAGGGATGTTTTAGGGGGGGGAAGGGGTGGGGGGGGTGTGGGGGGGGGGCGGGGGGGGGGCGTGTTGGGGGATCGTAACCCCCTACCGATGGCCCTACAACAAGTATAGCCTGTACGTATTCAAAAAGAAGGTACTCGTTAGGCTAAGAAAATTGTCTCCATAAGTTGGACGGATTCGGAAACAACTCACACCGTAAAAAAATGGAGTTACTGGAAACATTACTCTTAATTTCTCGACATGAAGAGAAAATATCACCCTGTTAGCGAGAGGCCTTACACGTGAGCCCTTGGAATTGCTTAGTATCGCACCACGCCAACCACCGCGCTCGAAGGCTGCCGGCAGCCTTCGAGCACGACGGTTGGCGTGGTGCGATACTGGGCAATCCCAAGGGCTCACGTGCACCAACCGTCGGGACTTCAGAGAGATTTGGGAGCCAATGGGGGCGCTGTTCGGCAGGAACGGCAGAGAACGAATCTACCAGATTTCAGGACCAGGGGGACTCCGGAGAGAGTGAGGTTGAGAGACTCGAGAATTGCGCGGGTGATTCTCCGACGTGGGGAGAGTACACCGGGTGCGCACCGCTGGCCCTCGGTTTAGACGAAATGCGTGGACGTAATGCGCACAGTTATTTCGTGAGCTTTCGCCACGGAAGAACAGGCCATAAAGTGGACACGGGTGGTTTCGCACAAACGTAAACCTGATGTCAGAATTTCTGACATGCATAGGAATTAGTTTTAAGAATACCCCGTTTTAAGACATATGAGAGGTGCAATACGACGATGCGCGGTTTTTGTGGGAATATGATAGGGGGCATATTTCTTGAAATTCTTTGCAAGGACATGCTGGCCTCCTCCAGGTCGCAGGTGCCACAAATCCCAGGTGAATGGGCCATCAGGTGAAAGGGTCGCTGCACGTGATTGGTAGCGAATGGGCGCAGATTCGGGGGTGGGCCCGGTCAATTTTCTGAGACTCGCTGGACACCTTGTGTAGGCATGTGATGCACCTGCATTGCGGGTCTTTTCCAGTAATTCTTAACGCGGCGTACCGTTTAACACGTTGAACAAATTATCCACGCAAATAAGGGGTTTGTTTTGCATGGCGGTGGCGAGGCTTTTTTTTTCTCATCAGTCATTATCTTGTGACGAAATCTCAGGGCGTGGTACATACGATCGAGAATCCCAATCACGTGACTCGACCACACTGTACCTGGTGAGTATCTAGCTGAAACACGTAGTGTGATTCTCTAAATTTCTGTAGCGTTCTCATCGATCGAACGGGGTTCCGCTCGTTATTGTTTGTACCACGCCCTCAGCTGCTCATGTGATTTTGTTCATCCTGTTGGACTCTACCGCATCTGCCTTTCGCATTGGAATGAACACAAGGAGATCCTGCCACTGAAAAACGATTCGGTGTACAAAAGATTGATTCGAATAAAATAGTGGTACATGTCTTATGCTACGTATAGCTCATATTTGACCACACCTCTTCCTGCTTTGGGTCGCCAGTGCTATAAAGGGCCCAACGAGTATCACACGAAAATACAATTTAACTCCATCATTCTCTGTCTGTGTGTGTTACCATGCGCACACTGCAGAGCTACCCCAATCGCGACCTTTAGAGACCCGAGAAGGTATGCGGAAAAAACTGCTTCATCCCTCTAACAAGCCCCCCGAGACGCCGCCACCTGCACATTGACATTACCCCTCTGCTTCAACCACCTCCGGAAGCGCAAATCAACATAACCCAAACGCATCGTAAACTGCACCCCGTAATTGTGACAGTGATGACGTGCAAGCAAGGCCTTATAATCTACTGTCTCATGGTGCTCCCACCCATTGGCCGCCACCCCCACAGTACTCCAGTTCTGTCCCACCTAATGCGAGGACAGCGACAACGGGTTCGTAGCGCTCACCTCAGGAGCGTGAGCCTCACTAGAGCGTAAGCACTATAATGAATTCTCTATCCATTGTATGCTACATCATTTATACCTACTACCCTTTTTTATAGTTAATCGTCTTAACCAATCAAATACGTACATGCCAGCAGCTACTGAGCAGCTCACGCAGCTGCTGAGCTCGCCCGCTCTGTCCGGGAGTCGCGCGATACTATTTTTCGTGAAGCCTAAGAATTGCTGCAGCTCCTTCACGTTCTCGGGTGTCTTCCACGTGAATACATCTTCAATCTTCTTCGGGTCGACGTAAACTCTTTGAGCGCTCACCATGTATCCTAGGAATTGGACTTCATCGAGGGCGTACTCGCTCTTGGATAATTTGACGTAGAATCGTTCTCGTCGAAGAATGTTGAAGACGCGTCGCAGGTGTTGGACGTGCTACTGCATTTCACGCGAGTAGATGAGGATGTCGTCAAGGTACACCACCATGCATTCATTCAAGAGTGGGCATAGAATGTGGTTCATTTTGGCTTGGAATCTTGCCGGTGCGTTGGTGAGTTCGAACGGCATTACCAGATACTCGTACGACCCGTACCGAGTTCGGAAGGCAATTTTGTGGTTGGATTTGTCCGCCATTCGTATCTGCCAATATCCAAACCGCAGATCTAGTTTGGAAAATACCGTGGCTCCCCGAAGCTGGTCAAGCAGGTCATCGATTCGTGGTATTGGGTATTTGTTCTTGATGGTCTGCTTGTTGAGAGCTCGGTAATCGATGCACATGCGCAGGCTTCCGTTTGGTTTCGGTGTGAAGAGTACTATGGCGAAGTGGATGGTCGGATAAGTTGCGAGGAGATACTCGATATGTTTTTTCATAGCGGCTAGCTTCGTGGGGCTGAGCCGATATGGTGGTCGGAAGGTCGGCTTCGAACCTGGTTCTTCCACGATCTCGTGTTGGTGCGTTCGGTATGGCGGCAGCTCGTTCAAAAGGTCGTCGGGAAGAATGTCTTGGAAATCATTCAGTAATTCCTTGATTTTTTATGGAGGTTCCGAGGTTTTCTCCCCATCGTTTTCCACCTATGTCGCTATCGCCAGGAACTTGCTGTCGGTTCGTTTTATGTCGTTCTCGAATCTTGCGAGTGTTTCCACTGGGATATCTCCTGTATCCTCCCAGTTGGGTAGCTGGACTCTCCTTTCGTTGTTGTAGATGCTTGCGGTACGATTTACCCAATTGATCTCGGGGTTGAATCGTTTTAGGAAGTCTCACCCGAAGATCAAGTCCAGCCCTTTTATGTTGGTGATGAGAAGTGCAGGTTTCCAGTGCGGTGGTCCGATTTGTAGGTGTAACACTGCTTCGCCGTATACTTGTAACTTGTTGCCGTCCACCATCGTTGCAGAGAATGCTGAAAGCTTGTACTCTTCCCGAAGTTGGTCGATTACTGCCTTGTCGCATACGGTGTGTGATGCTCCGCTGTCCATGAGTGCTTGGAGGCGTCGTCCTTTGCAGATGACATCGAGCACGAGGGGCAAGCATTGCTCGAATTACCCTAAGATAGTTTCGTTAATAGGATCATAGGGTACATCCCAAGATTTCGTACACACATTTTCCTTCTTATCTACTCTTGGGCTGGCAGCTCTCCGTGGCTGCTTGGAGAAAGGCTCTCCCTCAGGACCCAGAGCTTTCTTGACGATTATGTATGTCGTTGATGCCGAATTTGATGAGCTGGATGCATCCGAAGGAGGAGTTCGGGGTTTTTGCAGCTTCTTGTAGACCCCCAGCTTCCTCTTGAGCTGCTTCAGCTCCACCGACATCTTCCGTGGGAACAATTAGTCATTGTGGGCTGGTGTCGGGAGAGGACGTTGACTCCTTGGAAAGGTCGGCTTCTTTCCACACTCCTTAATTTTGTCCCCATGTTTTCCGGTACCAGTACGATCTCCAAAAGTTTATGCTTCTTTCGGAGTCCCTCCTGAAATTTCTCGAAGGCTCTAGCCCCTCGAGAATTGTAAGTTCGCATTAAAGCATCCTTATAAGATAAAATCTATCGGCTCGAAGCATTTCAGTAGGTCGGTGCGGAACTGCTGCCACGTGGCTTCACGGTGGATGAAAGTACTGTTGCCGCCGATCCACTCGAGTGCCGGCCCTCGCATCAGTGTCGCCGCGAGTCGTACACGTTGACCGTCCCAGACTGGCAAGCTCCATCCGACGGCTGTGAATAGATCTCCATGCCGGCGATCCGTCTGCGGACGTCGGAAATTCGATCGCTCGGATCAAACGGCTCAGGTGGGCGCGGTTTCGGAGCCTCGAAAAACTGCTGCGACTGTTGCGTCGTCGCCGTTGTCGTTTCATGCTGTGCGCCGGTGAGTCGAGTTACTTGCTCGAACTAGTTTCGCCAAGCTTAGCGATCGGCTCGCATCTCCTCCTGAAGGGCAACGATGCTCGCAAAGAGCTGTTGGATAACCTCGGCGTTGTCGAAGTTCGTCATCCTGTTCAAAACACGCGCGGAGGGGTAAATTCAAAAAACGTGGAGCTCGTGCTTACCAGAATCGGCGCCGAATTAGTCGCCCCCGGCGGTTTTGCGAGGCAGGTTTTCCCGCTACTTCTGCTTAGCTGAGCATGGGAGAGTGAGAAAAGCTCTGATTACCAATTGTCACAGGATCGAATGTGTCAAGGAAAAGTTGCACTATCGATTGATACAAGGCGCTTTTATACTTCCAAAGTACATCAGGTAACCAGGTTGATCATATCCAAAGGGAATAGACCCTTCTAGAAATAGAATCACCATGCATACAGCCATACGAGGCTATTAGCTTCAAGGGATTACGGCAAGATTACGCTAGATATAACGCGCCAGTACATCCCGAGCCTGGTCGGTGATATAAATATAATAATAAAATAACCCAAAGGGTAATCATTTACTAACTATTAGGAAGGATGATGCCGTAATTATTAACCATCATCATTAAAGCAAGCGCACAGAATAACTTCAAAGTCCAAAGCGTTTCGAACCTGCCTGTTATGATATAGGAAGTGTCAATGAACTACAACGTGAGAATACAAGGTCGCTATTGCAATGAAGGCACGAGGTTATATAGGGGTTGGCGTGCTAGGGCGATAACCTCGTAACGTGGGTACGTTCGGCAATATGGCAACAGTGCCGGACGCGACTCAGGAAGAGGTTGGGCCGACAATTGAGGCCGAACGTGACGAGTCAAGGAGTTCGGGTGTACACGCTTGCGTACGACTCATTAAGGAAGGGAAAATCCTTACACTACCCCCCCCCCCCTCCTAAACGAGGCCGCGGGCATCGGAAACATTCCGACGCTAATAATACGCTGTTAGAATCGGGTGTGATTCTATATCAGCGAGGGGCACCCAGCTGTCATCTTCAGACGTCCGATCGCGCCATCTGATGAGAAAGTCCACCATTTGTCGATTCTGCTGTGTTGACTCGATGGTCGAGAATCTGCAGGGGCTCAGTCCTCGGTTCTTGCAGAGGTGTCAGCTGCGGTACGATGTGTTGACGTGCCAAATCTGATGAATCGGGGACGTAAGGTCGTAGTAGGCTGACGTGGAAAGCCGGGTGGTGACGCCAATCCGCCAATCCGTGACAGGTGTCACCGTATTGGTCACTTGAAAGGGGCCACAGAATCGGGATTGGAGTTTGCTTGGGATCGGGAGACGCAAATTGCGAGTGTCGAGTAGTACGAGATCTCCCACTTTGTAAGTGACGTCACGTCGATGACGATCGGCTTGTCGGCTTGTGACCAGGTTGGCTTTCCGGATTACCTCAGCTGCTTTTTCTCGAGCTGCGAGGATGTCTTCGGCAAATCGTTGGGACTGGGGCACGGGTGTCTCGATGTTGGGTGTAGAGGGTACCACTGGGTCCTATCCGTAATTGAGGAAAAATGGGGAGTGATGGGTTGTTGCGGAAGGCGCGTTATAATACGCGAATTCCAGCAGCGGAAAAGATTTCTCCAATGTCTGTAGGTCAGTGCAGTTAGTCCGAATGAGCTGCTCCATAGTTTGGTTGACTCGTTCGATCTACCCGTCAGTCTGTGGGTGGTAGGCCGAGGAAAACTATAGTTTGGTAACGAACTGGTCTCACAGATGGCGCCAGAAATTCGATGTGAATTTCGGGTCTCGGTCTGAAATAATGGCGGTGGGCAGTCCATGCAGGCTGATGACGTTCGCGATGAACAGTTGGGCAGTTTGTTCAGCTGTAATTTTCTGTTGGCAGGCGATGAAGTGCGCCATTTTCATAAATCGGTCAACGACCACAAGGATGGCGTTGTTTCCGCTGGGACCGGCCGGCAGTCCTGGTACGTAGTCCATCGTGACGTCTTGCCAGGGTCTTTCGAGCGGATCCAAAGGCTGTAGTAGTCTGGCTGCTCGCTGATGGGATGATTTCATGATCTGGCAGGCGGTACAGGAGGACACGTACTTGCGCACGTCGTCGGCCATGTTCGGCCACTAATAATTGCGCTGCAACATCTTCAAGGTTTCGTCAACTCTGAAATGCCTGGAGGTAGGATTGTCGTGGGATTCCTGGATTAGGAGGGTACAAAGTAAATCGTAGCCGAGAACCCGGATGGGGGAAGTGTCGTGCTTATTAAAGTAGGTAATGGTGTAGCGGAAGTTTGACTCGAGGAAATCGAGCCATCGGATCTGTCGTGGGTTGAGATTCGGTTGGGCTCGCAGGTACTGGAGGGATTTTTGGTCGGTCCGCACAGTGACGTCAGCGCTTGTCAGGTAGCATTGCCAGGTCTTGAACGCGTGGACGATCGCCAACATTTCCTTGTCGTGTACCGTGTATTTTTTCTGTGCACCCTGCAGCTTTCGTGATTCGTAGGTGACTGGCTGTAATCCTTCGCCAAAATCCTGTAGAAGAATTGTGCCAATGGCAATGTCGCTGGCGTCGGTGATGACTTCGTATGGATTGTCAGGATCGGCAATGCGAAGGACGGGCGGCGACGTGATCGCGATCTTCCATTGGTCGAATGCAGCTTGCTGCTTCTCTCCCCACCAAAAACAAACATGATCCTTGAGTCAGTCAGTTAGCACGGCAGATAACCCAGCCATATTGGGTATAAACCTGCGGACGTAATTGACGAAACCCAAAAAACTCTGCAGCTCCTTGATGTTGCTTGGCGTCTTCCATTCCTGTATGGCCTTGATTTTCTAAGGGTCGATTTTTACTCCATTAGATACGATGTGGCCAAGAAACTCCAACTCCTGCTTAAGAAAGTCGCACTTAGACCCTTTGGTGATGAGGCGATTCTTGTGCAGCAGCGAGAAGACTGCATCAAGATCCCGTAAGTGCTGCTCTCTGATGCAGCTATAGATTAGTATATCGTCGAGGTAGATGATGACGCATTTGTCCAAGAGTTCCCTAAAAATTCCATCCATGGTCATTTGGAAGGTCGAAGGCGTATTCGTGAGCAAAAGGCATCACAAGGTACTCGTAGCTGCCGTAGCGGGTCCAAAATGCCGTCTTGTGACAATCTTCGGCGGCGACGCGAATCTGATGGTAACCTCATCGCAAGTCGATTTTTGAGAAAAACTTAGCGCCGCGAAGTTGGTTGAGAAGTTCGTCGGCTCGCGGGATGGGGTAACGCGACTTGATGGTGATACGGTTGAGCGCGCGGTAGTCGATACACATTCTGAATCCTCCGTCCTTCTTCAGGGTGAACAGTATCGGGGCGACATATGGTGATGTGCTGGGTTGGATAAAACTTTTCGCCAGAAGGTAATACAGCTGCTGCTGTAATTCTTCGAGTTCCGGTTGGCCGAGCTGAAATTGGCGCTGTACCGTGGGTTGGATGCCTGGTTCCAGTTCGATTCGGTGGTCCTCAGGTCAGCTCGGTAGGAGTCCAGCTGGCAGATCATCTGGGAAAATCTCTGGGTATTTCCGAATCAGGTCTGCTAAGTCCGGAGGGACGGCTTTGCACAGCTTCTCGATATCTTCGGTCTCGACCGTCGATGTCACCTCGCGAAGATCAACAGCATACGCGGCAGCTCCAGCCTTCATTGCGTGCTTGAAAGTGATCGCATGGACTTGGGTGCTGCGCGTGCGAGGCCCTGTCCACTTGGGCAGCTCGCGGGAAATCCCCTCGAGCTTGATGCTGCAGCCGCCCATCGCCCAGTCAATCTTCGGGTTGTACCGTCGCAACCAATCATGTCCCAACAGCCCGTCGCACCCGTCGAGAGTAGTCGCCAGTAGTCCCATCCGAAATTTTACATGCTCTCCACAGGTAAAACCAACGTTCTCAACTCGTTCTCGTATTGCCAGCGGTGTTCCGTCCACTTGTCGAGCGTCGATTTTAGGTAGACACTTGAGTAAAGGTATACGTAATTTTTTAGCCCTGTCCATTTGTATGAGACTGTGACTCGCGCCTCCATCAACGAAAATCTTCAATAACACACTGTTGACTTTACCCTCCACCAACACAGGGTGATCAGTAGTTTCGTCCCCCTTATTCGTTCGGGTCCGATCGATTGCAGCAATCGGGATCACGACCTGGTGGGGACTGTATGGCTTGGGCGAAGAAGCTTGCCCGTCAGTAAGGGGCTTGGTACTTACTTACGCAACCCATTTCCCGGTCGCTCCTCCGGCTTCTTCCCCATAGAATTCTGGAGGGCTATGAATTCTTGGCAGTTGCGTCGGATGTGACCCGGCCGGCCACAGTGGTAGCATAGCCCCGTATTTCGCGGAGCAACTGCGTAATATCCACTGCATCCACCCCTTTTATCGTGGCACGCTGGTACTGTTCTCGAGGGCGACCTCCGTCGTAGAAGTTCGTCCTCGGCTTCGTGAGTGAATCAGCAGCTTCGACGAGCTGGATGTAGTCTTGTAACCGCTTCGCAAGGCATTGCAGTTTTATCTGGTACTGTATTTCAGGCTTCAAGTTGCCCATGTACTTGTTGACCTTCTCCAACTCGTGCATGTAGCCACATCTGTCCACCAACGGCAGGAACGACGAAGTGTACTCGGACACAGATCCCAGCTGCTTCCACATGCGTAGAGTTTCGCGTGCCTTGTCTGAGGTAGGTGCATGCTCAAACCGCTTGCGAGGCTCTGCGCACCATGTTCCCCACGTGCGAATGTGGGTTGCTCTGAACAACAAATCTGCTTCGTCTTCACCGCCGAATTCTTCGGACCACTCGTGCTGTCCTTCTGTGCGATTTGCCGCTGAGTCGACGATGACCTTCCACCACTGTAGGGCGGCCCCTTGCAACAGTGTTAACACGTGGCTGATCCGCTTCTTATCGTCTTGGATGCCCGCCGCGTTAAAATAGATATTCATGGCGAATATCCACTGCCGCACTATCACGCCTATATTAGCTGGGTCGAAAGGAGCGGGTTGCTGATATCTTACACCGCCACTTGTCGAGCACGGGGCTGTTGCCGCTAGTCATGCCAGCTCCACTGGTGACGGTTGCTGCTCACCCGCCTCGCTTCGTGCATCGTCACCCGGCTCCTCTGGACACATTTCATGCGCTTGGCAAAGTCGCTGGTTCTCGTCGCGGAGGCCGTTGATAATGCTTGTCAAATTCTTCAACTGCTCCATTAATGTTTGCAGGTCCACTGTTTCCCGGGCAGGGTTCGCAGCTGCCGAGGTGGACTGTCCCTCAACTGTCGAATCTACCGGGGCCATGGTGGCAGTCAGGATGGGGCAGAAGCTAGCGCACACGCTGTAGTTGTTGACGTAAAAATATTTACGATCCAAGACAACTGCTGTGCAGCTGTGCTAATCCCCTCTTACCACCCTTAAGTAAGTAGACGGGAAAACGGAAGGTTCCTGGAAAGGTCAGGCTCTGATACTAGTTGTTATGATACTGTATAGGAAGTGTCAATGAACTATAACGTGAGAATACAAGGTCGATATTGCAATGAAGGCACGAGGTTATATAGGGGTTGGCATGCTAGGGCGATAACCTCGGAACGTGGGTAGGTTCGGCAATGTGGCGCATGCCGGACGCGACTCGGGAAGAGATTGGGCCGACAATTGAGGCCGAATGTGACGAGTCGAGGAGTTCGGGTGTACGCGCTAGTGTACGACTCAGTAAGGAATGGAAATTCTTTACACTGCCGAGTGGCGAAACCAACCAGCCAATGCACATAACAAAGTGGGTAACCCAGTTGGGGCGAGAGGGGGGAAAAAATTGGCAGAGGGGGGTTTCTGTTTTGCCAAGCGACAGCCCTGCAACGCAGCTAGCTCGCCCAGCAGAAAAGCTTCTTTCTGCCACCAAGATCCAAAGCTTCTTGGTGCTTGTTCTGTACTCACTGGCCATGGCTCCTTCCCCGCCATTTACGCTCCCAAACACAGCGCCAACTGCCAATTTTATAGTGTGTGCTTATAGTGCGGTTTATTAGAGACGGAGCCCGCGTTCCCCTGACCTATGGCTTCACCCTGGTTCCCACATTCGCAACTCCACTTTCCCACTTCCCTGCTATCCCGCTTCCAAAACTCCCCCGCTTTCCCGCTTTCCCGCGTTCTAGCTTCCCCGCTTTACCGTGTTCCCGCCTCCCAGCTCCCCCATTTCCCAGCTGCTTCACCGCGACCCCGCTTTCCCGCTTCCTACCTTCCACGCTTTCCCGGCCTAGAAGGGCATCTGCTGCCCGTTTCTGGCACCGTCGCCCATCACTGCCCGTTTGTCGCTTCATGCTGCTGCCACTGCGCGCTACCCGCAGCCCGCGAAACGCTTTCCCCTCTCCCCGCTTGAGTGTCCCACTCCCTGCTTCCCGCTGCGCTCATCCCTGCCTTTCCCCTAGCATATCCCTACCATGGTTTGATGTGTGTTTTTATCCATGGGATGGCATGGTTGGGCACGGCACGGCATGGCATGGCATGGCGCACCATGGCATGTTGTGGCATGGAATGGTACTGCACGTGATGGCATGGCATCAGATGCGCATTGGGGTTCACACGGCAGTGGTGCGAGGCGGGCTCTCGTCATCCCCGGTTCAGACATGGGGGGAAGGTGAGCTCAGACAAGAGGGGGAAGGTGAGCTCAGACAAGGGGGGGAAGGTGAGCTCAGACAGGGGGGGAAGGTCGGTTCAGAAAAGAGGGGGAAGGTGAGCTCAGACAAGGCGGGAGGTGAGCTCAGACAGGGGGGGAAGGTGAGCTCAGACAAGGGGGGGAAGGTGAGCTCAGACAAGAGGGGGAAGGTGAGCTCAGACAAGGGGGGAGGTGAGCTCAGACCGGGGGGGAAGGTCGGTTCAGGGAGGGGGGGAAGGTGAGCTCAGACAAGGGGGGGAAGGTTAGCTCAGACAGGAGGGGAAGATGAGGTCAGACAAGGGGGGAGGTGAGCTCAGACAAGGGGGGAGGTGAGCTCAGACAAGGGGCGGAAGGTGAGCTCAGACAGGGGGGGAGGTGAGCTCTGGTTGGGGGGGGAATCCCGCTCTGATTCCATGCTCACTCCCCCTCAATCATGCTTACTCCCCCCTCCCATGCTCCTATCCACGCAATTATCCTGCCTGTACCCCTCCCCTAGCCCTTCGTTTTCCCAGCTGGTGGGGCGGCTGGCTTTCGAGTGGGAGAAGGGCACTGAAAGGAGGGAACAAGGGCACGGAAGGGGGGATGGAAGGCACTGGGGGAGAGGAAGGAGGGCTCAGCAGGGAGCGCACGCCTCACTCACTCTCCATGGCCCCACCCCGACTCATCTGCCCTCCCACTCCATTGCAGCGTCCCCATGCCTTCCCTTCCCAAGCCCCGGTCCCCATCTCGCCTGCTCTTTTCCGGTCTTCCATGCTTTCCCCCCAACCCATGCTCCACCCCCACTACCCCTCCCCCCTCACCCATTCTGTCCCTGATTCCCGCTTCCCGCTTCCCGCTCAGAGGGTTTTTGTCACGCTGGAAAGAAGGGGGTGGGGGGTTAGAAGGGCTCTGGATGGGGGAGAGGGAGGGCTATGTATGGAGGGGCAGGAGGAAATCAGAGGGGGAAGGGTTAACTCTGAAGGGGGGAAGGGGAGAAGGAGGGCTCTGGAGTGGGGGATGGAAGGGAACTGGTTTGGGGGGGGGGGATCTGGCTCTGGAATGGGGATCCCCCCATGCTCTCACCCCCTAGCTCGTGCTCTCCCCCAATCACCCTTGCTTCCCCCTCTGCCCCATGCCCTCCCCTCCACCCTTTCTCTCTCCTGTCTGCCCTTCACACTCTGAGTTCTTCTTTGCATAGCTCTAACCCCCCATCCCTCTTTTCTCCTACCCCCTGCTTCCACCACACTCCTTACTTCCATCCCGCCACAGTAGCTGGGTTTGTGACAGAATGAGACATGGCTGTAGGGCATGCTAGATCTAAATATATCCCCGTTGCTTGGCTAGAAAAAACGCTCTAGCCCTGGCTGTCCATAACATGAGCTCGCGTTCAAATTTTAACTACGTCTGAAATTTGAAATTTAGTGCTCTGCTACTCTTGAGATGTAATTGTCACGAGACTAGGGTAGCTAGGAAGCCATGAAATGGCGTGAGGGGTTTAGCTAGGAGAGAGTTACGAGAGAAAAGAGGTCGAGATTAGAAGAGAGAGGGATACAAGGAGGGGGTTGTACCCTCTACAGCAGGTTTCAATAACACCCACCAAGCCTACAATTATATAACATATATTATTTAACACACCCCCTAGGCTTCGTAGTTACAAGCCCACCCAACACACACACACCCCCTAACCCCTTACACCCTCATGCTCGTGATCAGCCGGGTATCTACCCCTCGTGCGAAGCGATGACACCCCCGGCGAGAGGCAGCTGGCGGCGTCTGGGCGGCCTCAACGACTACAGTGGCAGAGCTCATGCTCAAGGCGGCTGTGTCAATGACGGCAGGCGGCGACTGCCGTGGCTGAGGGCTCTCGGCGGTGTGGCACAACCCGGCGACGACCGGGTAGAAGACAGCAGCTGCGGCAGGAGGAAGAGGAGACGCAGGGGGGAAGGGGGGTGAAGCCCAGCAAGGCGCCTGCGGCAAAGCAACGATGGCTGGCGTGTGGGCGAGCTGGCGGTGCCTGAAACGTCAGGGCGCTGGCCGCAGCCGTCCGTGCGCTGGCAACACGGCGGCATGGCGGCACAGCGGTACCGTGGCACGGCAGCACGGCAGGATGGGGACATGGGGACACGGCGGGACGGCGGAACGGTGGCACTGAGGCATGGCGGCACGGCGAAGCCGCCACCACCACATTAGTGCGGCGAGGCCGACACGGCGGTGCGTCGAGGTCGTCATGGCAGCTCGGCGAGGTATGGTGGCGGCACGGAAGGGACGGTAGAAGTGTGCGGCGGAAGCGTGAGGAGCTGGCCCGGGACTGGCGACCTGCTCTGTTACCATGTCACGAGACTAGGGTAGCTAGGAAGCCATGAAATGGCGTGAGGGGTTTAGCTAGGAAAGAGTTACGAGAGAAAAGAGGCCGAGATTAGAAGAGAGAGGGATACAGGGAGGGGGTTGTACCCTCTACAGTAGGTTTCAGTAACACCTACCAAGCCTACAATATTTTAACAGTAATGTACTTCATTTTCTCACTATGTCGTCACACTGTAAGGGCTTTTCATAATACGTTGACCGTTACAAACAGTTACCTTATCGGGGCATAGGTAGTTTACTGTTCCTTGCTGGAACAGTAAAAGAGTGATGAGTCTGCCACCCTTTCCCCAACTGCCAAAGGACGGGCGAGGGCTGTGCGACCTCGTCAGGTCGCGCGCGCCCTCGTCAGTCCCGTTTTGGTTTCGCCAGTCCTGTTTCAGTCTCGCTAATTCGTCCATCTGAACTCAAACTGTGAAGCTTGAGTATACTCTGTTTGCTCGCTTGAACCATTTATGAACCAAAGCCGAAACTAAAACCAGATCAGAACAAAACAAAACCAATATAGATAGACACACTTTTAGATGATGTTATCCAACATACTTTACACGCTACTCTTGAGCAGGCGAGGAAGCTGACAGAGGGATACTATCAAGAGGAGTACGTGAGTACAACAGTGATAAAGAAGTTCATACATGTCTAGTAGGGTAAACAGTAGCCGTTCACGTGTTAATTATGAATAACAGCAACAGTTGATGGTCGCGGGCCAAGACCATCTGCCACCACCATCTGCCACTGCCGGCCGTTGCTCTG